TTGGATGTGGCCCCCAAAATTAATGAGATCGAAAGACCTCCTTCCCTCTAAGAAGCGGGTATTTGGGCTGCCTCTCTTTTCCTTCTAACCAGCACCCCGAGTGCACGCTACCTCGTAGCTCAGTCTCTGCTGCACCCTTTGTTCTTTTTCTCAGGATATATATATATATTTTGCTTTTTGGGTCACACCCGGCGATGCACAGGGATTAATTACTCCTGACTCTGCACTCAGCAATGACTCCTGGCGGTGCTCAGGGGACCCTATGGGATGCTGGGAATCGAACCCAGGTCGGCTGCGTGCAAGGCAAACGCCCTCCCCGCTGTGCTATTGCTCCAGCCCCCTCAGGATATATTTTACCTGCTTCATCAGCACTTCCTGACCTTCGTGTTTGGGGCCTCTACAGAAAGGCCCTCTCTACCCGACTCCCCACCCATGCCCTCTAAGGACATTTTTTTTTCTTTTTGGGTCACACCCGGCGATGCTCAGGGGTTACTCCTGGCTCATGCTCTCAGGAATCACCCCTGGTGGTGCTCAGGGGACCCTATGGGGTGCTGGGAATCGAACCTGTGTCGGTCATGTTGGCTGCGTGCAAGGCAAACGCCCTCCCCGCTGTGCTATCGCTCCAGCCCCTCTAAGGACGTTTTTTGGGGGAAGAGTTCTCCACACAGTATGGATTGAGCCCAGGGACAACTTTTGATGATAGATTGTGAGGGTCCCCAGGGGTTGGGTCCCTGGGTGGTGTTTAGGGAACCAGACTGTGCTCAGAATGAAACGACCCTGAGTCATCTCCCTGGCCCTCCCCGCCAAGAAATTTCTTTTTTTTGGGGGGGGGGGGGAGCAGGGAGGGCACAGCCAACAGGGCTCAAGGCTTACCCCTAGCTTTTTTTTTTTTTTGCTTTTTGGGTCACACCCAGCGATGCACAGGGGTTACTCCTGGCTCTGTGCCCAGGAATCCTGGCTCTGCACTCAGGAATCACTCCTGGTGGTGCTCAGGGGACCATATGGGATGCTGGGAATCGAACCTACGTCGGCTGTGTGCAAGACAAACGCCCTCCCCGCTGTGCTATCGCTCCAGCCCCACCATTGCTTTTTTTTTTTTTTTTTTTTTTTTGCTGTTTGGATCACACCTGGCAATGCTAGGGGTCAAGTCCTGGCTCTGCACTCAGGAATTACTCCTGGCAGTGCTCGGGGGACCATAAGGGATGCTGGGGATGGAACCCAGGTTGGCCGCATGCAAGGCACGCCCTACCTGCTGTCCTGTCACTCTGGCCCCTCCCACTGTCTTTCATGCTGTTTCCCCCCAACTCCCACCAAGGGACTGTTGTGTCCTACTTTGCTGCAGGCTTCGTTGCTCCGTTGACTTGCTAGGGATGGGGATGGTTCTGGCAAGTCGAAGCCCCGTGGCCGCAGAACTTCTAAGCACAGGAAGCTGCTTCTTGGGGTCACTGCTGGCTCTTCTCTTCTCTCGGATCTGCTCCCCAGGAGACGTGAACCCCGCTCAGCCTGGAGTCTGTGTCTGTGTGTTGGATCTGGAGCAGGACGTGTCACCCCTTTCCTTCTTCTGGGATTTTGGGCCACCCTCTGACGTGGTGCTTGGAGTGAGGGTGGGAGTGCTCCAGGTGGTGCTCCAGGACCAGGCCGTTGGGGATCAGACATTGAGCCCCGGCAGGCAGAGCGGCACTCGGCCCTTGGAGGGAGCCCAACGGGCTGCCACCGACCCTTTGCGCCTCAGTTTCCTCAGGTGTCCCTAGGTCCTGCTAGGCCTCGGGTTCTGGGAGCGTCCCGCTGCAGAGCACGGCTCTCGGGACGTGCTGGCCTTAGCGCCATCCCTGTTAGCACTGACTTCTGTGAAAAGAGTCACTGGCAAGAGGCCTCCGAGTTGGGGCACTGGGGACCTGGTCCTGAAGGCCTGGGCCATCGGCAAAGGAGCCGGAGCGAAGAGGAAGGTGAGGTCTGAATGTCTGAAAGGACACCCGCCTCCATCCTGGTATGCCAAAGGGGTCAGGGACAGAGACGGGGACAGCGATGAATGGGGGTTGGGGGTTGCACGGGGCTTGTGGGAAGATCCTGGGCGGGACAAGAGGAAGTAAAGTCAGTAGAGGGAGACTCCGGCTGCCCGTTCCTGTGGCTACTCCTAGCTCTCCACCTCTGTGCTTGGAGATGGTTCTCAGCAGTGCTCAGGGAACTGTGCCTGCCAGGGATGGAGCCGGGGTTGTCCACATGCAAGGTATGCGCCTGTATCTCTGTCGTCTCTCCCGGGCCCAAGACCCGATCTTCAGTGAGTCATGCATGCCCGTTCTCCTTCATGGGGTTCGGCCCAGACACAAGTCTGGCGTTTAAGTCCAGATGTTGCTTCTTGCCCTGTGGTTGGTGGCACTCGCCCTCCCTGCACGTCCGCATTTCCGGGGCAAGACCTGAAGTTTTGGGGAAAAAACATAGTTGTCGGGCTCCCTGCCCCCAGGTAATGCTGAGGAGTGCGTCCAGGGAGCCTTGGTTGGGTATTTTGCAGGGAAGGGACAGGCAGAGCTAGGCCGGGGGGCCTGCAGGGCGGGGGATTGACCTGGGGCCTCGTGCAGAGCAAGCGTGGACTCCAGCCTCGTATTTTCCACGAACTCTTCCTGTGGCGATGGTGCATCTTCTACTGTACAGGAGTGAAACCCACCCGCGGAGGCAGAGAGAAGACTTTTCAGAAGGAGCAGGAATGAGGTGTATGAGTGTGTGTGTGTGTGTGTGTGTGTGTGTGTGTGTGTGTGTGTTTAGGGTGGGGGTGGGTACCACACCTGGCAGTACTCCCGGCTCTCTGCTCAGGGGTCTCTCCTGGAAATGCTCAGAGGACCATGGAAAGTAGTAGAGGAATTCGTGGAACCCTACGTGCTGTATTCTTGTTCCAGCAGAGAAAGGGAGAGGAGAGAGGGGGAGAGAGAGAGGAGAGAGGAGGAAAGAGAGAAAGAAAGGAGAGAGAGAGAGGAGAGAAGAGAGGGAGAGAGAGAGACTCGGCCAAAAGGAAATACAGAGGATGAACTTCTGCGTGTGAGTGTCCAGGGAGATGGACCCTGGCAGGTCCTGCTGGCCGGGCACATCCCTTGGAAATGCAGAGCCCAGATGCCGCGTGGGCCCCACGTGAGTCTGCTTGTGGGAAACATAAGCCACCCACCAAGGACAAGGATCCTCCTGGAGGCTACGGCACAGTGAGAGCAAAGGGGGTCAGCGCACCCATGCACAGCGCCCAGGCGAGGAGGAAGGCGGTTTCCGAGCCCTGGGGCTGCGAGTGGCTCTCCCACCGCCCCACCCCCAAGGCCGTTTCCTAGAAAGCTCAAGAGGCTCTTTCCTCTGGTCACGGGAAAGCAACCTGATGAAGAGCAGCACCCGAGCCCCAGTCCGGGCAGGAGGCAGGAAATCAGTTGAAAATAGACTTGGAGAGTCAGTATTCCCATGAGACGGTGCCGAGGAAGTCGGACGGCCGCTGGCCCTGAGACGCGTCAAGGGCTTCCCTGTCCTTCAGAGACGCGGCTCCTGGCAGACGTGTCCGGTCTGGAGAAGGGGAGAGGCATGTGATCCCCCCAGCTGGGGACCAGACTTCGAGGAGAGGCAAAGGGCAGTCATCCGAGGCACGCCGGTCATGGGAAGCTCGGAGCGAGGGTGGCACAAGGGAGTGGACAGCCTCCAGCGGGGAGGAGAGGAAGAAGGGCGTGACTCACGCAGCCTCCGTGTGCTGCGAGGTTGGGGGAGGGGGGTGACTCACGGGGAGAGAGGCAAGGAAAACCAAGGAGAAGAAAACCACCCACTCTGGGGGGAAGGAGAAAGAAGGGAAAACTCGGTCTACTCAACTCTTGTCGTGAATACAGCGCGTATCACCGAGTTTAGCAAATTTCAGTGATCAGCTGACGTTTTGGTGAGGGGGGAGTGAGGTGGACCTACCTAGCAGTGCTCGGGGCTTTTACTCCTGGGTCTGTGCTCAGGAATCACACTTGGCGGGGCCTGAGGGGACCTTATGTGGTTCCAGGGACCCGACCCTGATTGGCCACATTGTCCTACCTGCTGTCTTGCTGTGCCATCTCCACTCTGGCCCCTGGCATCACTCCTGGTGACACTCTGAGTCTGGGGGGCTTGAAGGTCTCTAGGCTGCACCTAGTGATGCTCGGGGGACTGTGTGGTGCTGGGATTGAACCAGGGTCAACGCCAGGGCACGCCAGTATGAGCCTTAATCCCTGTACTGTATCCAGACACCTCAAACTCTGATGGCAGGAGAGGGAGCTTAAGAGAGTCTTTACTATTTTTATTATTATTATTATTTTGGTCACACCTGGCGATGCTCAGGGGTTACTCCTGGCTCTGCACTCAGGAATTACCCCTGGCAGTGCTTGGGAGACCATATGGGCTGCTGGGAATCGAACCCGGGTTGGCTGCGTGCAAGGCAAACGCCCTACCCGCTGTGCTATCGCTCCAGCCCTGCCAGGTATGACCCCCAAACCGAAACACATGAAACTTTTGGATGGACTTGGAAAGGTGGATTTTAAAAATCTATAAAGAGCATTTCACAGGTTGAAAGTAGTACAATGTGTGAACTTGTTCCTCCCTGATCAGACACTGCCCATCCTCGACTTTTTTCTAAAAAAGCACTTTGTGTGGTCAGAGCGATAGTCCAGGGGAGAAGGCCTTGCTTTGCATGCTTGGGTTCAATCCCTGGCATCCCATATGGTCCATCGAGCACCGCCAGGAGTCAACCCTGAGTGCTACTGTGTGTGGCCTCAAACCCCCTCCCCCCCCCCCCCGCCCCTGCAAAAGGTAGTTTTTGAGTCCCCCAAGTCACAGATGCATCAAATACAAATGAACTCCACATGGAAAAGGTCAACGTGTAGCCTGGGGTGGGGCAGGGGTTTGCTTCTGCTTCACCATGGCCTGGCCTTGGGGGTCTCCCTGGGAAATCCAGGGAGGTGGGGAGAGGCAGTGGGGTGTCTGGTGGGCCTCAGTCATTGTCTCACGTCTGTCCTGTGCCGCAGGCCCAGCATGTCAGGACTCCATCTGGTGAAGAGGGGCCGAGAGCAGAAGAAGCTGGACCTACACAGAGACTTCACGGTGGCCTCCCCAGCCGAGTTCGTCACACGCTTCGGGGGGGACCGGGTCATTGAGAAGGTGAGATGGGGCTCGGGTGGCCTTTGAGCGGCTCTGGGGGTGTCCAGGTAGTCCCGCAAGGGGCCCTCATGCAAAGGAGCAGCTTCCTGGCGTAAGACCCGGCCCTGCCTCGGAGGGGGCCCCGGAGGAGCCCAGGGCAGGTGCTGGCACAGCAGTGGCAAAGGCCAACCCCATGCCCACCCTCTCTGAAGGCTTCTCGCCCGGCTCCCCGGCCCAGCCATGCCCCAGCCACACGCTCATTGGCGACTCCCAAGTTTGCAAGGAGGTCAGCGCCCAGAGCTCTGACCCTGAGTCCAGTGTCACTGCCAGGCGCAGAGAGATAGAACAGCGGGGAGGGCGCGTACCTTGCACCCATCCGACTGGGCTCCATCCTCCACATCCCATATGGTCCTTCGAGCGCCACCAGGAGGGATCCCTGAGCGCAGAGCCTGGCATCAAGAACAAGCAAACAAAAACCCAAATCTGTGGCTGGCCGGGAAGCGTGGGAACTGAGCTGACCCCACGGTGGTCTCCCGGCCCCCGGGGCAGTGCCCAGCCCCGAGTGCGGGTCTCTACCTGACGCCTGCTGCCTCCCATCCAGGTGCTCATCGCCAACAACGGCATCGCGGCCGTGAAGTGCATGCGCTCCATCCGCAGGTGGGCCTACGAGATGTTCCGGAACGAGCGGGCTATCCGCTTCGTCGTCATGGTGACGCCGGAGGACCTCAAGGCCAATGCAGGTACCCTTGACCCCCCCCCCCCCAACAACAACTGCCTCCCCAACTAGGCCAAGTTGATCCTGGACAGAGCCCAGCACAGGCCCGGCCCACCTGTCTAGTCACCACCACATCTATCCAGCCTGGGCGCTGCGTTCAGTTCCCGGGGCCCCTCCAAGAGTGATCTTTGAGTTTAGAGCCAAGAGTGAGGCCTGAACAGGAGAAGTGAGGGCCAGGAGGACTGGTTGGGGGCCAGTTAGAGTAGAGAAGGGACCACTATGACAGTGACCATTGGAAATGACCACTTTGGACTAGAAATGAGTGCAGAGAGTAGGTAAAGGGGTCACGATCACGATCATGACCATCCTGTTGTTCGTCGATGGCCTCGAGCAGGCCCCAGTAACGTCTCTTTCGTCCTAGCCCTGAGATTTTTAAAAAAGTGCCGTATTCAAGGCTCTTTCAGAGTTAGGAGAATGAGACCCTTCACTGTTACTGGTATTTGGCATATTGGGTACACCACGGGGAGTTTGCCAGACTCTGCCGTGTGGGCAGGCTACATTCGGTAGCCTGCCAGTTTGACCTACTTTGGACAAACTGGCAGGTAAAGGGATAGACGTGATAACCTGTCAGTACCTGTATTGCTAACCATCATGCCGAGAGAGAGAGAGAGAGAGAGAGAGAGAGAGAGAGAGAGAGAGAGAGAGAAGAGAAAGAACAAAGATGGAGAGAGAGAGAAAGAGATGGAGAGAGAGAGGGAGAGAGAGAGAGGGAGAGAGAGAGAGAGGGAGAGAGAGAGGGAGAGAGAGAGAGAGAGGGAGGGAGAGAGAGAGGGAGAGAGAAAGTGCCTGCCACAGATCAGGCTGGGACAGGAGATGGGCGACGGGAGGCATGTGGGCAGGCGTGAAATGGGGGACATTGATGGTGAGAAATACATGCTGGTGAAGGGATGGATATTGGAACATTGTATAACTAAAACTCAATCCTGAATAGCTTTGCAACTGTGTATCTTCATGGTGATTCAATTAGAAAGAAAAAAAAAAGAAAAGATTAAACTTAAAAAAAAAAACGAGTGAGCCCTGAACACTGAGATCCAACAGTGTCCAACCCTTCTCTCCCACCCCCCTCCAAAAAAAAAAAGAGTAAGACAGTAACAACAACAACAACAGATCATGGGCTGGAGAACCAAGGGTTAAGCCACGTGTCATGTGACCAACCCAGCTCAGTCCCCAGCACTGCATTTTACCCAGAGCGGCGTCTACAGTGCCATCCCCACTCAGCACAGAACTGGGAATGAGACCCCTCCCCAACCCCCCATCAATTAGGGGTGTGGCTGCTCCCTACTCCCCCCAGAGCCCGCCTGAAATCCGCCACCTGCTAGAGGATTATTTTTTGTTTGTTCTTTTGTTTGGGGGGGCCACACCCCCACGGCGCTCAGAACTTACTCCTGGCTCTGTGCTCAGGTTCACGCCTGGCGGTGCTCAGGGGACGATGTGATATGCCAGGGATTGAACCCTGGTTGGCCGCGTGCAAGACAAATGCCCAACACCCTGTGCTCTTTTTTTTTTTTTTTTTTTTTGCTTTTTGGGTCACACCCGGCGACGCACAGGGGTTCCTCCTGGCTCTGCACTCAGGAGTTACTCCTGGCGATGATCAGGGGACCATATGGGATACTGGGAATCGAACCCGGGTCAGCCGCGTGCAAGGCAAACGCCCTCCCCGCTGTGCTCTCTCTCCAGCCCCCCAGCCTGTGCTCTTGCCCCAGCCCCTAGCATGTTTTAGCTTTTCATTTTCTTCTGTTCTAGGTCGAGTTCAGCCGCATGCGTTTCTTTTCCTAATTAAAGCCATGTCCCTGGCGGGGCCGCTCCGAGGGCCAGAGCACATCCCCCCTGCAGGATGGGCCCCCTGAGCACTGCCGGCTGTGGCCCCCAACCCCAAGCCAAGTCATATTTTCCTGAGCTGCCCGTCCACGCGCATCCCCTGCCAGGGGGCGCCGGCGTGGACTTGGCACGGGGGACCCCACGGTGTGGCCTCAGCGCTTCCCTCCCTCCTTCCTTCCCCTCCTTTCTCCCAGAGTACATCAAGATGGCAGATCAGTACGTGCCCGTCCCAGGGGGCCCCAACAACAACAACTATGCCAACGTGGAGCTGATCGTCGACATTGCCAAAAGGATCCCCGTGCAGGCAAGCCGGGCGGGAGAGCGGACGGGACTTGCTCCTGCTTCCTCTGTGGAGGGAGGGTCGTGGGGGGCAGGGGGAGGTGTGTGTGGGGGGCAGGGGCAGAGGGTGCCCGCTAACGCCTGTCTGTGCTTGCAGGCCGTGTGGGCTGGCTGGGGCCACGCTTCGGAGAACCCCAAACTCCCGGAGCTCCTGCGCAAACACGACATCGCTTTCTTAGGTAGAGGGCCCGGCCGGCCGTTGGCTCTGGGGGGCCTGGGGGTCGTGGGGACACTCGACCAGGCCACGTTCAGTTCCTCATGCAGGTGGGGATGGGGGTGAGTCTGAGCTCAGCCCCACACTCGCCAGAGGGCTGCTGGAGCCGTCCGGGGGGCGGGGGAGCCGTTTCTGTGGTGGCAGCGCCCAGCTAGCAGGACCCTCTGCTGGGGCCCCTGCTGGCACTGGCCGGCTGGCACATGCAGATTTCTGACTGCAAGTGGGAGGTGGGTCACGTGTCTGCTACACTTTTGCTTGGCCCTTTGAGGGTGCCGCGATTCCTTGGACCCAGACTCCCACATTTCTGCTTGCTTCTGAAGTCTAATGAGGGTTCTTTGTTTTTGTTTTTTTCTTTTCTCTCTCTCTCTTTTTTTTTTTTTTTTTGCTTTTTGGGTCACACCCAGCGATGCACAGGGGTCACTCCTGGCTCTGCACTCAGAAATTACTCCTGGCAGTGCTGGGGGACCTTATGGGATGCTGGGAATCGAACTCGGGTTGGCCGCGTGCAAGGCAAACGCCCTCCCCGCTGTGCTGTTGCTCCAGACCCTAATGAGAGTTATTTTCTGTGGCATCTACTCACCTCGGGACTTGTTTTTGTATCTGCAGACTGGGCGCAGTTCACACCCTCTGATCGCCCTGAGTGACCGAGGCTCTGAACCCCTCTTGTGCCTCTGGGTCCACGACCCAGGCTTTCTTCTGAAGCAGTCAGTACAGAGCAGTACCCGAGTGTCTTGGGTCACATGGGCCACTGGCCTTATCTGTGCGTGGTCTCCCATGGGTGATTCCAGGGGACTCTCATTCTTTCATGTTGAACACCTCTGGATGCTGATGGTCCAGCAGACGACAGCCCACCGCCAAATTTGGCCAGCTGCCTGGTTTTTTGTGAATAAAGTTTTATTTAAATTTGGCCCTGCCCTTGTCTTTCATCCAGTTGTGTGTCCCCCGTGACTGCTTTAACCCGAGCTTGGCAGATGTTTGCGACACAGACAAGCAGGCTCACAAAGCTGAAAATATTTGCTGGAGAAGTATTTTAGAAATCTCTTCTAGAAACCATTTGCCAAGCACAGTCCAGTGTCTGGAAGTGCTAGCCTGCCCTGCATCGACCCTCTGCCTTCCCTGCTGGTCTCGGGCATGCCCGCATAGCTTGGGTCATGAGTTACGACCTTTGGCCGCCCACGTGTGTGGCAGTTGACTGGTAAAACCGCAGACAAACGCGTGGGTAGTTTTCTTTGCTTCTTGAGGTTATTTTTTTTTCTTTTTGGGTCACACCCAGCAATGCTCAGGGGTTACTCCTGGCTCTGCACTCAGGAATGACTCCTGGCGGTGCTCGGGGGACCATGTGGGATGCTGGGAATCGAACCCGGGTTGGCCGCGTGCAAGGCAAACGCCCTACCCGCTGTGCTATCGCTCCAGCCCCAACTTCTCGAGGTTCTTGAGGTCTGGGACCTGATTGTCTGGTGTTGACTGTGACCTGGTTGACACTGACTGTGAGTCTGATTGTGTCCCCCCACTGCCCTGGTCTTTCAGGCCCCCCCAGCGAGGCCATGTGGGCCCTGGGGGATAAGATCGCGTCCACCATCGTGGCCCAGACGCTGCAGATCCCAACCCTGCCCTGGAGTGGAAGTGGTAAGAGAGCCCGGGTTGGAGTTTTGGGGTGCTGCCTGGCTCAGACCTGCTAATGTCGGGGGGACACCATTACTAATTATTAATTAAAAATAATTTTTAAACCATTGAACAGGTGGTACCCTTTTCTTACTGACAACTTAGAAAATGGGAGAAATTGAAAAAAGAAATAAAATTATCCATAATCCTGGGGCCTGTTGTTGAATATTTGTGACTTAGAAAAGATTCTCAGAGTCTCCTGTGAAAGACACAGTTCTTTTTTTTTTTTTTTGGTGGGGAGGGTCATACCCGGCGATGCACAGGGGTTACTCCTGGCTCTGCACACAGGAATTACTCCTGGCGGTGCTTGGGGGACCATATGGGATGCTGGGAATCGAACCCGGGTTGGCTGCGTGCAAGGCAAACGCCCTACCTGCTGTGCTATCACTCCAGCCCCAAAAGACACAGTTCTTAAAAAGCTCAGACATAAAAAGTTCAGACAGTGTGTTCAAGGTTTTTTGTGATTTGTCTTTTCTCACTAAAGTTTCTGTGTCAGTCCTAGTAAAGGCTGAAACATTCTACTTTCATGGGTATCTATCTGCTCTTTCCGGAAAGTGGAAAAAATATTAAAAAAGAGTATTCCTTCAAAATAAATAATAAAGTTTCTGTGTCAGTCATATTAAATGGTGACACAGGATCGTGTTGTGGATGTATGGTCCTTTACTTATCAGCCCTATTGTTTCCAATTTTTATATGATTTTGTGTTATTTAGTTTTGCTTTTTAATAATTTATTTTGCATATTGAGTAATTTTCTTATTTGATTTGTTTTATTTTTATTCAATTACATTTATTTATGAAAATTATTTTACTAGGTTTATTAAGATTATTTTATTTTATTAATATTTTAGTTTCTTTACTTAACTCTAGTTAACTTATTTAATGTATAACTTACATATTTGAATTCATTTAAAGCTAATCCTATCAATTATTCAATTAAATCTTATTTCATTTTTTTCTTTATCTTATTAAATTTAATTTTATTTTTCTCTTTTCCTTTCTCCTATTTTCTGATAAACTTTTATGCTTTCTTAACAATAAGAAATTTAATCTCACTTTTAATTAAATTCTATTTTATTAAATTTAAATTTTTATTATATATTTTTAAATTTTATTAAATCTAATTTAAATTTATCTATGGTTTGATTTGCTTTATTTGACTCACACATTTAATTTTATATTTATTTTATTTTAAATCATATTATATTTCAGTGGTGCTGGGAATTGAATCAAGGGCCTCGCACAGCAGTGCTCATGCTTGTGTCATGTTTGGTGGTGAACCAAAACCCTAGCTTTCTAGTTTATTTTGTATTTTTTTTTAAATCTTGAAAATAACGTCTCCTTGATTGTCTCACAACTAAATCCATATGTGCATTTATATCATTTCCTTGGGAGAAATTCCTAAAATGAGAAATTCCTAGAACTAGTATTTTAAAGGATGTAGAAAAATAAACAGAAAAAAAATCCCAGGAGTTTCCGATTTAATTTTTTTCCCACCAAAACTAAATTTTAGTTTGTTTGTATTCCTTTGGGTTTTGGGCCATACCCGTGGTACTGGGGATCAAACCTGGGCCTTCTGCATTCAGAGCCTGCACTCAGCCCATGGAGCACTCTCTGGCTTCAAAAATGAATTTTAAAATTGGAGCGGAGGGGCTGGCGCGATAGAGCAGCAGGGAGGGCGTTTGCCTTGCACGCGGCCGACCCGGGTTCGATCCGCCAGTATCCCATAGGGTGTACCAAGCACCGCCAGGAGTAATTCCTGAGCGCAGAACCAGGAGTAGCCCTTGAGCATTGCCAGGAGTGACCCAAAAAGGAAAAAAAAATTGGAGTGGAGGGCCAGAGAGATGGTACAGCGGGGAAGGTGCAAATCCCAACGCAGGTTTGATCCCTGGCACCCCATCTGGTCCCTCAATCCCTGCCAAGAGTGATCCCTGAGGGCAGAGCTGGGAGTAAGCCTCCAGGTACCACCAGGTGTAGCCCAAGCCCCCTCCACCCACACCCCCAAATTAGAACGGAAAGTTTGCGTTTAAAAATCTTCGTGGGATATTTTGAAAACTGAATAAAGATTCCGATACAAATGACTGTCTGCCGTCTCTTTGGCCCCCGAATTTCCGGTTTTAAAAGTCACTGGTCAAACCCGGATCAGCCGCATGCAAGGCAAGTGCCCTCCCTCTTCTCCAGCCCCCAAATAAGTGAGCTTTATTTGTTTTTTTTATGTATTTTTTAGCTCTGGTCCCACTCCTAGCGGGAGTCAGTGTCATGCTGGGGATCGAACCAGGGTTAGTCAGAAGCGAGGTGGGCGCTTTACCCGCTGTCCTGTGCCTCCAGCCCTGCTGACGAGGGTAGCTCCTCCGCTTTAAGCACCTCCTCCTCCTCCTCCCTCCACCGTCCCGTGTCCTCCCTCCCCGCCCGAGGGTTCAGTTTTCCTTTGTGCCTCGCCAGGTCTGACCGTGGAATGGTCAGAAGAAGACCTGAAGCAGGGGAAGAGGATCTGCGTCCCCGAAGACATTTACAACCAGGGCTGTGTGAAAGACATCGATGAGGGTCTGGAGGTAAGGGACGTCGGGGAGGCTCGAGGTTCTCGGGCCTTCTGGAACCATCAGGAAAGATGCCCTGGCTCCTGCTCACCTCTGATGAGCTGCCTGTCCTCTGCTCCCCCAGGCGGCAGAAAAGATCGGCTTTCCGTTGATGATCAAGGCTTCTGAAGGAGGAGGCGGGAAGGGGATCCGGAAGGCCAAGAGCGCCGAAGACTTCCCCATCCTTTTCAGACAAGTGAGCGGGGGTGCCTGGCTTGGCTCTGCTCCGGGGGCCCAATGCGTGCATGGCCTGTGCTCTGCCCCTGGGTTCCCTCCATCCAGGCCCCACGAGATGTCCCGCAGCGTGGCTTTGTCCGTGTGTCTTAGGAAATTGTTTTCCTGCCGTTACTGGCCATCAGTTGGTTTCCATTTTTTTTTTATTTTTTTGCTTTTTGGGTCACACCTGGTGATTCACGGGACTTACTCCTGGCTCTGCACTCAGGAGTTACTCCTGGCGGTGCTCAGGGGACCATATGGGATGCTGGGAATTGAACCCGGGTCGGCCGCGTGCAAGGCCAATGCTCTACCCGCTGTGCTATCGCTCCAGCCCTGTGGTCAGTTGTTTTGCAAGCTTCATGCTCTTCCCTCATACGGGCATGTGAGCTGTAAATGACGGAGCCAGGATCCAGGGGAACCTCCGGTGAGCAAGAGAACGTCACTGTCATGTTTCCAAGCCAAGGTGCCAGGCGGAAGAGAAAGTACAGCGGGGAGGGCACTTACCTTGCACACGGCCAGCGGCACCCCGGAAGGTCCCCTGAGCCCCCCAGGGGTGATCCCTGAGCACAGAGCCTGGAGGAAGCCATGAGCACGGCCGGGTGTGACCCCCCTCCTGCCCCAAAACAACCCTTTGGGCTGGCTTGACTTCTCCCTCCCCTCGCCCGCAGGTGCAGAGCGAGATCCCGGGCTCCCCCGTCTTCCTCATGAAGCTGGCACAGCACGCGCGGCACCTGGAGGTGCAGATTCTGGCCGACCAGTACGGCAACGCCGTGTCCCTGTTCGGGCGTGACTGCTCCATCCAGCGGCGCCACCAGAAGATCATCGAGGAGGCGCCGGCCACCATCGCCACCCCGGCTGTGTTCGAGTTCATGGAGCAGGTGGGCCCCTCCCACCGAGAGCTTCAGGGGTGCCCGGGGGGCGGGCTGGGGGACACGGTCAGCCACGGCAGGGCTGGGTCTGCGTGGCTCACGGCCAGCCAAGAGCTTCGTGGTGTGAGTTGCCAAAGTGAGTCTGACCTCCGAGGGGGAGCTGATGCCAGCCTTGGGGGGGCTTCTCCGTGCCCCGCGGCCCCATAGTCACCTTCTGGGGGAGGAGGGACCCTCTGCCGCCCTCCCTGCAGCCCCCGCGCGCGCTCTCTCTGTCTCTGCAGTGCGCCGTGCGCCTGGCCAAGACGGTGGGCTACGTGAGCGCAGGCACGGTGGAGTACCTCTACAGCCAGGACGGCAGCTTCCACTTCCTGGAGCTGAACCCGCGCCTGCAGGTGGAGCACCCCTGCACGGAGATGATCGCCGACGTCAACCTGCCGGCCGCCCAGTTACAGGTGAGGCCCCTGGCCCGCAGCCCGGGACGGGGCGGTGGGCTCTGCCCTCGGGGAGTTTCCTGCCCATTTCTTGCTGGCTGTCCCTGGGGGCGACTTCTTTTGGGGGGAGAGTATGGGTGGGAGCTACTCCCAGAGGGGCTCAGGGGCTATTCCTGGCTCTGTGCTCAGGAGTCACCCCTGGTGGGACTCAGGGGACCATATACAGCGTCAGGGATTCATCCAGGCTTGGAGGGAAACAAGGCGAACTTAGATCCCTGTACTGTGTCCAGTACTGGAGATAGTATACACCCCCGCCCCCCGACTTTTTATTTTTCGTGTTTTGGGTCACACCCGGCGATGCTCAGGGGTTCCTCCTGGCTCTGCATTAGAAGTTAGTTCTGGCGGTGCTCTGTGGGGTGCCGGGGATAGAACCCGGGTCGGCCGTGTGCCAGCGCTTTCCCCACCGACTTTTTTTTCGAAGTCCCTCCTTTCTCTTCACCGGGCCTTCCCTTGCAGCGTTGTGGAGTGTCAGGGGTGTGGCTTTATCTGTATCGTGCATCCGGTCCCCACACACCCCGCAGCGGGGCCCTCCCGTCCCTTCCTCAGCCCCTGCCCGCAGCCCGCGGCTGACTCGGAGTCTGGGCTGGTTGTGGTTGTTTTGCTCCCGTGACTCTCATTCATCGCACAGACCCGTGAGACCATCTGACCCGTGTCCACAGTCACCTCCACGTCCGTCTGTCCCAGAGGCGCATTTTTGTCTCCGTGACTCAGAGCCATGAGGATCAGGGCCGGCGTTTCCTCCCCGGTCCCGGGCAGGGGGTGGGCAGCATTCTGTGGCTTGCACCTCAGCCCCGGTCCTATCAAGCCCCCATGTTTGCGCCTTTGGGGTTCGTTTGCTTTAAGCCTCGCCTGGCAGTGCTCGGGAGACCGTGAGTTGCCAGGGGTGGAAACCTCCGGTCTACGAATCATTCCTCCCGCCCTTTCCTTCTGTCGGTTGGAGACTGTGAGACATGGGCCTGAGCACTAGCGGAGAGGAGCAGAGTGTGGATCCAACTCAGATTGGATCCGCCGCACCCTCTAGGGTCCCCTGAGCCCTTCCAGGTGTGATCCCTGAGCACCGAGAATAGAGTAAGCCCTGAGCACTGCTAGATGTGGCCCCCAACGCAAACCAAGACGAGGAAAGACCGTGAGAGGCTCTCACAGCTTCGGGGCTAGACTTGGCCGACAGCTCAGAGCCCTGAGCCCGAGCTCTGCGTGCCAGAGCCCTGGGTTTGATTGCCCAGCTCTGCCAGGGCTGGCCCCTGCGTCCCCCCCCCTGGGTTGGGGGTCCTCTCTGCACACCCCAAAAGAAAGAAATCAAAACCCTTCACCTTCGTGGCATGTCGCCTTCAAGCATTTAAGCCTCAGATTCTCCTGAGAACGGGGACATGTTTTCCACTGCAGTTATTTCGTCACAGTAGAACCACAGTGGAAGGCCCCCATGTGGGGACTGTTCTCTCAGCCCCGTGTCCCTCTCGTGGACTTTCTGTGTTAAAAGTCACCCATTTGTCCAGAGAATGTCGGTCATTTGTAGCTGTTGGTCCTTAAGTTTTAAGGTCAGCATCCGGCCCCTGTGAGTCTCTTTGACCTGGAACCGAACTTTCAATCTCATTCTCCTCCCAGGAAGGTTCAAACAGAATGTGCCCCCGTGGGGCTTGGCGTGGTCGGGCCACCCCAGAGCTGGAGCCGGGGCCTCCCTTGGGGCAGCTGAGTGAGACCCTTTGGATCCCACCCACCTTTCACTGCCGCCTCAAGGATGGCGTTCCCTTCCAGCCTCCCCAAACCTCTGACTTTGTACCCCCATCCTCCTCTTCCTTAGCTCTGAGGTTCTGTCGCTTCTGCATGCCGCGTATGGGACATGCATCACTGGGTGACATCACTGTGTGACGGTCCCAGCATCCTCCTGGGGACCCAGATGACACTGCCCTTGTGCATCTGAGCCTTTGGGGGTGGGGAGGGATTGTGCCCCACGCTACCCTGGCCTTTTTTTTTTTAATTGCTTTTTGGGTCACACCCAGCGATGCTCAGGGGTTCCTCCTGGCTCATGCACTCAGGAATTATTCCTGGCTGTGCTCGGGGGACCCTATGGGATACTGGGAATCAAACCTGGGTTGACCGCGTGCAAGGCAAACACCCGACCCGCTGTGCCATCGCTCCAGCCCCCTGCCCTGGGCTTCTGGGGCAGCTAAAACCTGATCTCTCCTGCCTCAGCTTCCCTGGGCGGGGGGTCCAGAGCTGTGTTCTCACTTGGCGGGTGGCCCTCCCAAGATTCTGCCCTGTGCCCCTCCCTCCTTTTCTGCCTCCCTCCCTTCCTCCTCCCCTGTAGACCCAGAGCCCTGGGTGCTGGGTCACGGTGGGACTGACCGTCGGGGTGCACGCTGGGTTTCAGATCGCCATGGGCGTGCCGCTGCACCGGCTGAAGGACATCCGCCTCCTGTACGGGGAGTCCCCCTGGGCCGTGACGCCCATCTCCTTCGACACTCCTGCCAACCCGCCCATGGCCCGCGGCCACGTCATCGCCGCCAGGATCACCAGTGAGAACCCCGATGAGGCAAGTTGGGAGGACCCCAGGGTGCCGGGCGCCTGCTGGGGTGGGCCAGATGCCCCTCCACACTCCGAGACCCCTGCGGGCTGTCCTGGAGGTCCCGGGGCGGGGGGGGGGCAGGTTCCCCACCTGACACCGCCACTGGGCTTGGCTGCCCTACCCTGGGGGGTCAGAAGGGTGGGGTCCCTCCCTATCGCCCCGTGCTGGGGCCTGGTCAGACTGTGCTGGGCTGTGTCCATGGGCCCTAAAGGCCAGCTCTAGCTTTAGGCCCCCAGAGCTTTTGTTTGTTTGTTTGCTTTGTTTTGGGGTCGCACCTGGCAGTGCTCAGGGCTTACTCCTGGCTCTGCCCTCAGGAATCACCGCTGGCGGTGCATGGGGGACCCCTGTGGGATGCTGGGGATCGAACCCCAGTGCCCTCCCCACTGTGTGGCTCCGGCCCCAGGGTCCAGAGCTTTGGCTTTCTGTTTCCATGAACTTTGTCGCGTTTCAGCCCCGTTGCTTTTTGTTTTGTGTTTCGTTTGGGGGACCCAGGGCTCTGCACGCTGGGGTCACGCCTGGCAGGACTTGGGGGCACGGCATGTGATCACGGTCACGGTCACGGTCCTCCCATTGTTCATCGATTTGCTCGAGCGGGCCCAGTAACGTCTCCATTGGAGACTTTGTCGTTACTGTGTCTGGCATATCGAATACTCTCGGTAGCTTGCCGGGCTCTCCGAGAGGGGCGGAGGAATCGAACTCGGGTCGCCCACGTTGGCTGTGTGCAAGGCAAACGCCCTACCCGCTGTGCTATTGCTCCAGCCCAACTGCATGTGATGCCGGGGATCAGACTTGGGTCAGCCGGGTATAAGGCCATTGCCCTCCCAACTGGACCTTCTCGCTGGCATTTCTAGTGTTTGGTTTGGGGGCTACGCCTGAGGGCGCTCAGGGGCTAGCCCAGGCTTGGTGCTCAGAGGTCACTCCCGGCAGTGCTCGGGGGCCGCTGCAGTGCCAGGGATGGAACCTGGACCCGCAGCCACCGAAGCGTGAGTGCCGGCTCACTCCTGGTTCTCCTGGCTGTCTCTGGTCCTATGCCAACCAGCTGGCACACCTCAGTCCCAGGCTCCTGACTGCTTGGTGCCACCCCACCCCGCCTCCGGCCCCGCCCCAACTCTCCTTGTTCTTTCTGGGCTGCAGGGGTTCAAACCCAGCTCCGGGACGGTCCAGGAACTGAATTTCCGCAGCAACAAGAACGTGTGGGGTTACTTCAGCGTGGCGGCTGCCGGCGGCTTGCACGAGTTTGCGGATTCTCAGTTTGGGCACTGCTTCTCCTGGGGAGAGAACCGGGAAGAGGCCATCTCGTGAGTGTCCCGTCCCCTGCTCCTCCCTCCCCCTCCTGCCTGCGAGCAGCCACAGCGTGAGCCTCAGAACAGACCCGGGTCATTGAGTTTGACTTCATTCATTAGGGGGCGCACCTGGCCGAGCTGGCTGGCAGAACCGTGTGGTACTGGGAATTGAACCCGGGCCACCTCCATGGAAAGCACCTCCGTGGCCCCAGACTAGCCGTGTCTGCCCCCTTCCCGACTCTGAGATCCAAGAAGCAAACGGAGGTCCAGAGAGATAGTTTGGGGTGAAGGCACTTGCCTTGCATGTGACTGACCCTGGTTTGATCCCTGACACTGCCCGTCGTCCCCCGAGCTCCTCCGGGAGTGATTCCTGAGTACACGGCCAGGAGTGATTCCTGAGTACACGGCCAGGAGTGATCTCTGAGCACTCAGCCAGGAGTGATCTCTGAGCACTCAGCCAGGAGTCATCTCTGAGCACTCAGCCAGGAGTCATCTCTGAGCACTCAGCCAGGAGTCATCTCTGAGCACTCAGTCAGGCGTCATATCTGAGCACTCAGCCAGGAGTCAGTCCTGAGCACCACCGGCTGTGACCCAAAGGAAAAAAAAAAGGAAAAAGGAAAAAGTGAGGGAAGGGGACTGCAGGGACAGCTCAGAGGGTTGCAGCAAGGCCCCAGGTTTGATCCCCAGCACCGCTGGGTGTGGCCCTCTTGGCACCCAGTACTGTTGGGTGTGAACCTTGTGACCCCCAGTATTGCTGATCATGGCCCCCGTGGCCCCCAGCACTGCTGGGACCTGAGCCCTGACCTTCAGGTGGGATGGGGGTTGGCACATGGCGGGTTTCTCCCTTGACTGACCCCACAGGGGGGACTCGGGAGTCTGAGGAGCTGCGGGGCTCCTTCTGACACCAGGGCCACCCCCGTGCGCGTCCCCCTCGCAGGAACATGGTGGTGGCGCTGAAGGAGCTGTCCATCCGCGGGGACTTCAGGACCACCGTGGAGTACCTCATCAACCTCCTGGAGACGGAGAACTTCCAGAACAACGCCATCGACACCGGCTGGCTGGATCACCTCATTGCCCAGAAAGTGCAGGTGAGTGGCGGCCGCGCGCGGGTGTCGCCCCGAGGTCCTCGGGCCCGGCGGCCGTGGTTACTGACCCTCCGTCTCCCGTAGGCCGAGAAGCCGGACATCATGCTGGGGGTGGTGTGCGGGGCCTTGAACGTGGCCGACGCCATGTTCAGAACCTGCATGACGGACTTCCTGCACTCGCTGGAAAGGTGGGCGCCCTCCCCTCCCCTCCCCTCTTCCCTCTCTCTCTCCCTCTTCCTTCCTCTCTTTCTTTCTCTCTTCCTCTCCCTCTCTTTCTTTCTCTCCATCTCTCTCCCTCTCTTTCTCCCTCTCTCCTTCCACCCCCCCCTCTCGCTGGACCCTTACGTGCTGGACACTGTGGGCTGCCCCTGGAGGGAGGGCGGTGGCCGCAGGAGTGGGGCTCTCGTGGGACATATGGACCCTCCTGCGTCCATCCTGCTCCTGGTGTCAGAGGCAGGACGCCAGGGGCTGCCTCTCCAAACGGCTCCTTCCCAGGGGCTCCCCCAGGGCGGGCGTTCACGCTGACGTCCCTGGACCTGGATCCGGCCAGGGTTTCTGAGCCTCGCTCCCCCGGCATTGAGGGGCCAGCTCCTTATTTTTGTTTTGTTTGGGGGCCACATCTGGCCGTGCTCAGGGGCAACTCCTGGCTCTGCACGCAGGGATCACACCTATGAGATGCCGGGGATTGAGCCTGGGTCAGCCGCGTGCAAGGCAAACGCCCTCTCCGCTGTGCTGTGGCTCCAGCCCTGGTTCTTGTGTGCCGGTGCGGAGGTCTGTCCTGGGCAGTGCGAGGAGCCGGTCTCTTTCCCTGGCTCGTCCCCGGCAGCACCTCCCCAGCCACCCTCAGCAGAGCCAACAGCCATCAGACACCCCCAGACATTGCCCCGTAGCCTGGAGCAGCCCTGAGCACACCTGTGAAGCCGGATTCTCTCAGGAAAACCAGAATCCCCCTCAGCCCTGAGCACATGCAGGTTCCTTGCCTGTATTTGACTTTTAGGATTTTCTTTTTTTCCCCTTTTTTTGCCGGGAGAGCCACACCCAGCAGTGCTTCAGGGTTCCTCCTGGCTCCGCACTCGGGGATCACTCCTGGCGGTACTCGGGGGACCCTACGGGATGCCGGGGATCGCACCCTCCCTGCTGTCCTATGGCTCCGGCCCCTAATTACTTTTAAGCCCCTTTAGCCTTTGTTGAGTCCAGCCAGCCTCAGAGGGACCAGGGCCCACTGCTGACAGTGCAGCCCACTGGGCAATCTGGTTTGGTGCCTGGACCCCACCCCACCCCCGCCCCCAGTCACAACACCCCCGGTCCAGGGACCACCAGGGCCAGGGCCACCCTGCGTCGGGGGTTAAGCCAGGTTCTGGCGCGGCCAGCAGGTGCCCGGGTGCTCGGAGCTCACTCCCCATCTCAGAGGAGCAGGAGGTCCCTGCCGTGGGGCGTGGCCGCAGGGTCACCCCGTCCCACCCCACCCCTCAGCTCTGTCCTCTGTCCCCAGGGGCCAGGTCCTGCCCGCAGACTCGCTGCTCAACACCGTGGACGTGGAGCTCATCTATGGCGGCATCAAGTACATTCTCAAGGTGGGCCCCCTGTGCTGCTGGGGGCGTCCCCTGCACCCCGGTGTGGGGGGACCTCGGGGGTTTCCTTCACGCAACCTCCTGTCCCCAGAGCAAGTGTCCTCCTGCCCAGGCCCCAGGACATCCTGTGCATCTCATGTCCTCCGCCTCGGGGCCTCGGGAAGTGTGGACCGAAGCAGGATGAGGAGGGGGGGCGATGGCCTGGGGTGGGCGCCCTGTGGCCGCTGTCTTCGGTCTCCCCCCATGCGGGGGGTTTTCTCAAGTTCTGAGGCCCAAAGCCTAGCGTCTGGGCTCTCCTGACCCTGGCTCCCCGAAGGCTCAGCAGAACCGGCTGCTGCTCCCAGCTTCTAGGGTGTGTGTGGCCATTCTTGGCCAACAGATGCGTCTCCCTCTACCTCCTGTTGCCCTGGGCTGGGCGTCAGTTGGTGCTGTCCCCTCCTGCCCTCCCGCGTCTCGGCGCTCCCGTCCTCCTCCACGCCCCCCAGGCTGGGGCTCTCGGGGCCCTCTCCCGCCCAGCTTTCTCACACCTGAACTCATGGCATCTGCAGAGACCTGCTTTCCACACGGATCTGGTTCCGAGGGGCCCGGAGGGACACAGGTGGTGGGGGACCCCGTTCCACAGAGCACAGAATGGGGACAGGAGTGCGTGCAGCAGAGTGGACTGAGTGTCCAGGCTCTGCCTTGCCTCTGCCCCGGGAATGGGGGTGCGGGTCTCCAGCTCCTTCCTGCGTGTAGGGGGTATCTGGGAGGTGGGTCCCCATCGGGGTTGGCGGGCTTGCCAGATGCTGTGTCCCAGAGTCATGATCCGTGTCCGGGACCCGGTGTGTGTGTGTGTGTGTGTGTGTGTGTGTGTGTGTGTGTGTGTGTGTAAGTCCCTTGACTGCTCACCCAAGCCCAGAGCCCCCTTCTGCCCTCCAGGAGGCTGCCCCCTCCGGAAGGGGTGCCCTCTGACCCCAGGTATCCCCCCGGCTTTTGTGGGAGCAGAGCTGGGATGGGACAGGCCGGGGGACAGGGCCCTGGCTCGTCACTGGGGCCCGGGGACAAGCAGGCTCAGGCTGCCTGCATCCGGTTGGGGACACAGGGCTGTCCCCGCAGGTGGCCCGGCAGTCGCTCACCATGTTCGTGCTCATCATGAATGGCGGTCACATCGAGATCGACGCCCACCGGCTCAACGACGGGGGGCTGCTCCTGTCCTACAATGGGAGTAGCCACACCACCTACTTGAAGGAGGAGGTGGACAGGTGCGTGCGTGCGTGTCCCCTGCCGGGAGGACGGCAGGAAAAGGAGCCGGGGCTGGACAGCCACGCCCGCCTCCTGGCGCCTCTCGCTCTCCCCCTTCCTGAGAGCCGTCAGACGGCGCCCCGACCCCGGACCCAGCCGGGGACTCCCTCAACACACACACACACACACACACACACACACACACACACACACGGGCCGCCCGATAACTGTCCCCTCCCATCTCCCCCGCCCGCGCCCCAGTTACCGCATCACCATCGGCAACAAGACGTGTGTGTTTGAGAAGGAGAACGACCCCACGGTGCTGAGGTCCCCCTCGGCCGGGAAGCTGATCCAGTACATGGTGGAGGACGGGGGCCACGCGGAGGCCGGCAGCAGCTACGCCGAGATGGAGGTGGGTGTGGGGCGGCCCCCCAGCTCCGCAGGGAGGTACAGACTGGCCCCAGGGGTTCATTCCTCAAGGACCTCGGGGTGCCCCCCGGGGATGGAGAGGGTATTGATTCGAGCCAGGGTGGTGGTGATTCCTGCCCCCAACCCCAGCCAGCGCTGACTCCAGCCCACCCAGTTCTAGCCGGAGGCTCTTGTTTCCTTCTGGGGTGTGGAAGAGGCTGGGGCCACACCTGACAGTGCTCAGAGACTATTCCTTGCTCTGCGCTCGGGGTTCACTCCTGGTGGTGCTCAGGGGACCACGTGGGGTGCTGACGATCAAACCAGATTGGCTAGATACAAAGCAAGTGCCCTACCCACTGGACTCTCTCTCTGGCCCTCCGTGCTTGGGTTCTCCTGAGCAGCCTTCCTTCCTCTTCCCAGCCCCCAGAGCTGGGCATGGATAATCCCCACCTCCCAAGCAGGGCACCAGGCGGGTGAACCATGCATGAGGGCCCAGGCAAAGCAGGGCTCCCCCTAGCCCCCATACTTGCGGCCGAGGAGAACCAGGTTCGGGGCCCTGGATGCACAGCCTTGGGCAGAGCTGAGGTGCTTCCACTTTTTTGGCTTCTTTTCTTTTTGTTTCTTTTTTCACTTTTCACCAAGGCCTTACTGGGGCCACTCTCCACACACTTGGATAAGCCTCAGACATAACAGAACTGGCAGAGGAACCCAGGTGTGTGGGACCCGGGGCTGAGATCTCCAAGCCTGCACGGTTTGGGACTGGACCTGTCAGTAGCTAGACAGTTACACCCTCCAACTGCCGTGTAACCCCAACAACAGCCAGGATCCAGAGATTATCACAACAAGCTCCCGGGAGCGCGCGGCCGCGCGACTATTTATTTGCTTTTCTCTAAGTTTTCAGGGTACCTTAAATATCCAACCCACATGGCAGAGCCTGGCAAGCTATCCGTGGTCTATGCCAAATAGACCAAATTGATATGCCAAATCCAGTAATAAATGGATCTCATTTCCCTAACCCTGAATATGCAGAGTCGAGAAGGATATGGAAGGAGAGGCTGATAAAACACCAAGGCAGACATAGGCTGCCAAAACGCAGAAAAACAAAAATGATTGTCTGTACTTTTAATGCTCGTACGCTGGCATCTGCTGCATCCATTGAAGACCTTATGGTACAAGCGCGAAAGATCAAGTACGACATCATTGGTCTGACCGAAACGAGAAGACATCAATCCCATCATGCTGTTTTCGACACTGGAGAAGAACTGTTCCTTGGAACATGTGATAAAAGAGGCGTCGGTGGTGTCGGTAACACAAACTTAGTCACGAGCATTGATTCATTCGAATGCCTAACAACCCGAATCGGACGATTACACTTGAATAAATGTGGCTCACTACCGGCAGTTTCTATCTTTGTTGTCTATGCACCAACATCCAGTTATGGTGAAAGAGAAACTGAGAAATTCTACATGGAGCTGGAGAAGTTCTATAAAGAAGATCACACCTTCTACAAGATCATTGTCGGTGATTTTAATGCCAAGATAGGACCAAGAAGATCAGTCGATGAACTCCACATCGGAACCCATGGCCTGGAATGGAACGAACAGGGTGACAGACTGTCTGAGTTCATCATGTCAACCAAAACCTTCCATGGTAACTCACAATTCCAAAAGGCTGAATCTAAACGTTGGACATGGGAGTCTCCCGATGGACGGTTCCACAATGAAATAGACCACATCATATTCAATCAGCAGTTTTGCCTAACCGATGTTGCTGTTGTCCCAAAATTCCAAACGGGATCAGACCACCGTCTTCTTCGTGCAAAATTCTACCTCACAGAACGAGGAGAAAAGAATGCAAGGTTTAAGAAGAGGACTCCCAGAACAACCACCAACTGGGAGCTCTTTGGCTCTATTGCGGCAACATGGAAAGATGCCGTCATTGACAACATTGATGAGGAATACGATCGAATGATTCAGCACCTCCATGATTGTGCAAGGAATGCCGAGAGAGATAACCACAAAAAACCGTCTTTCTTCGAACACTCTTGAACTTATTCGCCAACGTGGCTTGGCACATGCCTCAGGCAACCACAAGCGAACATCCGAACTGGCAAAACAGTGCAGAGAAGCCATCAAGGATGACCTCAAAAACAGGAGAGCAGCAGTACTGGTAGATGCAGCAGAAGCTGGGAAAAACATTCGTAATGCCCGCCTGTCCTTCACCAACTACAAAACCAAGATGACTGCCCTCCGACATCATGATGGATCTATCACATCTTCCAGAAGGGCAATGGAGAAGATTATTCATGACTTCTACTCAGATCTCTTTAATAGCCACATCCACTTGCCCACATACCACATACCACATGATGGATATGTCGTTCCCAATGTTCTCCCTTCCGAAATCCAACATGCCATCTCGTCGGTAAAGAAACAAAGAACACCTGGCCCAGACAAGATCAGACCTGAACACCTGAAGTACTTACCATCAGTACTCATCAATACATTGGCTCGACTCTTCACACGCTACCTGTCTGAATGCAAGGTTCCATCCCAATGGAAAACCAGCAGGACTGTACTACTATACAAGAAAGGAGACATCCAAGACATTGGCAACTATCGCCCAATCTGCCTATTGTCTGTCATCTACAAACTATTCACTCGAGTTATCCTGAATAGGATTAGCAGAACACTAGATGAAGGACAACCATGTGAACAAGCCGGATTCCGAAAAGGATTCAGTACCATCGACCATATCCACACAATGACCAAGCTCATTGAGGTTTCTCGGGAGTTCAAGATGCCGCTCTGTCTGACATTCATTGATTTAAAGAAGGCCTTTGATTCTGTTGAGACGGAAGCGGTCATGGAAGCCCTAGTCAATCAGGGTGTACAAACTCAATACATCAGGATCCTTCATGAGCTCTATTGCGGATTCACTACCAAGATCTCACCATTCTACAAAGAAGTAATCATCCATATCAAGAGAGGGGTTCGGCAAGGTGATACCATTTCACCAAAACTCTTCAGAGCCACCCTCGAGAACATCATGTGACGACTGGAATGGGAAAACATGGGAGTGAAGATAGATGGTCGGCAACTACACCACCTCCGCTTTGCTGATGACATTGTTTTAATAACACCAAACATCAGCCAAGCGGCACAAATGCTGAAGGACTTTGACCGTGAATGTGGAAAGGTCGGACTACAGCTGAATCTTACGAAGACAATGTTTATGAGAAACAGCCTTGTTCCTGACGCTCCATTCGCTCTCAACGGAACCACCATCTCCGAATGCAACAGTTATATATACCTAGGTCGAGAAATCAACATGATGAATGACCTGGCACCTGAGTTGCGCAGGAGGAAGAGAATGGCTTGGAATGCCTTCAAGGGGGTTGAAGAAATAACTAAAAGGACAAAGAACCTCCAGCTATGAGCACATCTCTTTGATTCCACTATTCTTCCTGCATTAACATATGCCTCAGAGACCTGGACCCTACGAAAACAGGATGAGAACGCTATTCGGGTCTCTCAAAGAGGAATCGAAAGAACTATGCTTGGAATATCATGATTCACTCAAATGAGAGATAGAATCCGGAGTTCTGATCTTCATCAACGCTCAAGAATCAGGGACGCTGTCTCATTTGCCAAGACATCAAAAATCAGATGGGCTGGACACGTAATGAGGTTTACAGACAACCGCTGGACTAGAGCCATTACTGATTGGATTCCACCAGACATCAAAAGATCACGTGGACGCCCACCTACAAGATGGTCAGACTTCTTCGTCAAGACCCTAAATGATCGGTTTGAGGCTCTGCATGTTCCTAGAACGAACAGATACCACTGGGCTACGCTAGCACGCAACCGGGATGAATGGAGACGTTACTGGCACCCGCTCGAATAAATCGATGAATAACGGGGATTAAGTGATTAAGTGATTCTTTTTTTTGGCTTTTTGGGTCACACCTGGCTCTACACTCAGGAATTACTCCTGGCGGTGCTCGGGGGACCCTATGGGATGCTGAGAATCGAACCCAGGTGGGCTGCGTGCAAGGCAAACGCCCTCCCCGCTGTGCTATCACTCTAGCCCCAACTTCCACTTTTTTTGAGGCTTGAGAGGGGAAGACACGTGCTGGCACTCTCAGAGGGGCGGGGTGTCTGCGCAGGTGTCCAGCCACTGGCAGCCCACCCCACAGCCTCCCCACCCCCACGCCCTTAGAGCAGACTCCCCTCAGGGCCAGCGTCCAATAGCACCCCCAGGGGGTTATGTACCATTGTGAAAGGAGCCCATAGGGCTGCGAGCCCCGGGGGTGATCCCGAGTGTACCACCAAGGAGCACTCATGAGCACTGAGCACTGTCGGGTGAGGATCTGGCAGCCCCCAGTGCTCCCTGATGCCCAGGCAGCACCTCAATACTGGGCTGAGTGTGGAACCATCTGGCCCTACTTTCAGGGAGTGGCCACAGGCCCTGAGCACCGCCAGAGGTGCCCCGTGCCAGGGCCTCAGGTGACCCCTCCCCCCGCCGACCCTGCCCCAAGTGTGGCCCCTGAGTGTCCCTCTCCTGCAGGTGATGAAGATGATCATGACCCTGAGCACGCAGGAGGGCGGCCGCGTGCACTACATCAAGCGCCCTGGGGCCGTGCTGGAGGCGGGCTGTGTGGTGGCCCGGCTGGAACTCGATGACCCTTCCAAGGTGCATGCGGTGAGTCGCCCGGCTGCATGCGGTTCCCCCCTGATGTCGAGCTGAGGCGACCCGAGGGACCGAGGTCTGCAGACGTTCACGTTTCCGTTCCGTTTGTGTCCCAGGCGTGCTCTGCGCTTCCTCCTCTTCGTCCTAACTCAACTCGGGTGGTCGGTGCAGGGACCGTGGCCCCCGTGCGCTTGAGTAGGGTCGATGTGCCCCCCACGCCCGCCGTGTCCCCTCCCCCGGGAGGTGCCGGTGCTCTGTCTCCTCAGGCTGAGCTCTGTCTCACCGCTGGCTCTGTCTCCTCAGGCTGAGCCCTACACGGGGGAGCTCCCTGCCCAGCCCACGATGCCCATCCTCGGCGAGAAGCTGCATCAGGTTTTCCACAGCGTGCTGGAGAACCTCACCAACGTCATGAACGGCTACTGCCTGCCGGAGCCCATTTTCAGCATCAAGGTGGGTGATGGGTGGGTGAGGCCCCCCCCCCCCCCGTGCACTTGAGTAGGGTCCGTGTGGTGTGCCCAAAGGGGCTGCTTCTGCTCGGAAGCCTGCGGTCTCCAGGAGGTGGGAATGGGAATCGGCGAGTCTCGTGTAGCCGTCCTAAAGGACCCACACTCCGGGAAGGGCCCTTTGGTTCCAGACTGTGGTGTATGTTCCTCTGTGGTCTTCTATCAAAGGTCTGCACATCGATATGATTTGCTTGGCCGTTGCGTGTGGTGGGGATTGCTGTTGCCTTTCTTTTACATTAAAAAAAATATTTTTTTTGCTTTTTGGGTCACACCTGGCGATGCACAGGGGTTCCTCCTGGCTCATGCACTCAGGAATGACTCCTGGTGGTGCTCAGGGGACCTATGGAATGCTGGGAATAGAACCTGGGTTGGCCACATGCAAGGCAAATGTCCTTCCCGCTGTGCTATCGCTCTAGCCCCTACATAAAAAAAATTTGAGCATTCCCATGTTACCTGCCCCTTCATGCCCCTTGAAAACAGTAGAGTTTGGGATGGAGAGGAAACCGGTGAGAAGCTCTCAACATTGCCAACCCTCTCCGACAGTCACAGGGTTGTCAGGAGTGGGCTGCGTCCCCGAGCAGCTTGGAACAGCCGCTCATGCTGGCATGGGAACCGTCGTGATGGGGGTGATGATGGGCAGCGTGGGGCTGGTGGGTGGTGGCGACCGGGGTGGCGACAGTGAGGTCATGGACTGGATATAGTGATGACAGTGATGGTGATTGTGGTGCTGATGGCGACGGTGACCACGGAGGTGATGAGGCCGACTTGGATTCTGATGGCGGTGACAGTGTTGATGGTGGAGGTGTTGGCAGTGTGGCGGTAACTATGATGAAGAGAGTGTCATGGTAGTGAGACGGGGATGAGTCGTGTTGATGGTAACAGATGGTGTTGCTGATAGTGATGGTGTCAGACGGCGAGGGACAGTAGCGAGGTGGTGAGAATGGTGATGGTGGGTGAGAATAGTGACAGTGGTGGTTGTTGCATAAATTATATAGGTCAGTTGAGCAGAGGCACAAGGACAAGACACGCAAGAGGAATGTGGAGAGCACAGAGGTCAAGGCATCGATCTGGCTCATGACCAAGAGCGACTTCCAGAGGCCTCCTTTTATTCTGTTTTTTAACAGTTACATCCTAATGACTTTACCCCAGAGAAATAACCAGTAGCAAGCGTACAAATCATTCGTCCAAAGAACATCTGGGTATACATTGTCTTATCAAAGCTACATCGTCAAAGCTATGTTGTCATGATTTAGAACGTCAGAGGAGGCTATGGAGCAGGACCCGCAGGCTCTCCAGATTACGCCCCCCACCTTCTTGTGGTTGGTTACACCCAGGGCAAAGAGAAGGCTCATGCTGACACTTGAGGGCCAATCCAGATTAAGGATGTGTAAGAGGGCGAAACTGCTGCCTTGTACTGCCAAGATAATGTATGACCAGGCGGGTGTCATACATGCGTGCTGTACTTCTCCAGATCATCCGGACTCACGAGTTTTGCTTGCCCACTTAACTCAAAAGCGAGGCCTCGGTTCTGCTTCCTGCTGGCAGGGCGGCGTCCAGAGGCTCGTCCTAATGTCCTGGCTTAGCACCAACAGTGATGGTGTTGGTAATAGTGGTGGTGCTGTTGTTACTAGTGACGGTGCTGGTGCTGGCGTTGACTGTGACAGATGACGGTGATGACGGTGCTTTATTATTTTTCATCACAGTGCTGGCCAGCCCTTTCGGGTGCATAATGTGTTCTAGTTCCTGCTCTGGGCACTCTAAACATGTTGTCCTTTAACCCTCCCGTCACAGTGGCCTTGCTCCCCTTTCACCGATGAGGAAACGGAGGCTCCAAGCAGCTCAGAGCCTGCCCTGCTTCACACATGCAGAGTCTGAGGCAGGCGCTTAGCCTGTCTGCTGGTCTGGGTCTGGGCGCTGTAGACCAAACCGCCCGGTAGTGGCCGCTGGACCCACAGTACATGCCTGCTCTGGGCCCTCGTACATGTGTCACCTCCTGGCTGAATGTCCTGCCATCGTGGGTCTGGCGGCATCGTCACCCTTGCTCACCGGCCGCCAGCCCTCTGCCACCCCTGGGAGCTGGAGGTGTCTGGGGGGCGGGGGGGCTCGTTCACTGTCTCCCGTTTCTGAGGGTGTAAAGCGGGAGGAGGGTTGTTGGTTCCGGCTGCTGAGGGTCACCTGAGAAGGAGAGGTCGAGGAGCTGCGTCTAGCCCAGGCGGGGGTCCCAGAGGGGCCGTTTTCTCTTAGCCTCAGGCTGGATCTCTGGGTACCTGGAGAGGGCGGGAGGGGGGTCTGCCCCCCCCCCCCGGGAAGCCGGGGTGTTCCCCTGTGGTCGGGGCCTGGGGGGGCCTTCCACAGTGAACCATCCCGGAGGCCACTGGGCTGTGGGAGGCGGGGGGTGTGTGGGGGGGCAGCTGGTGGGGGGCCGTGGACAGCTGGCACGACCCGCTGGCTGGGCCGGGCCAACGCCCCGCTCCCCTCCGCAGCTGAAAGAGTGGGTGCAGAAGCTCATGATGACCCTTCGGCACCCCACACTGCCGCTGCTGGAGCTGCAGGAGATCATGACGAGCGTGTCGGGCCGCATCCCCGCGCCCGTGGAGAAGGCCGTCCGCCGGGTCATGGCGCAGTACGCCAGCAACATCACGTCGGTGCTGTGCCAGTTCCCCAGCCAGCAGGTAGGGGGCGCCCCCGCGGGCCCCGTGGGCAAGTGCCTCACGCCCTCCCGAGACCCCGGCTGCCCGCGGCGTGGGGGCTTGGGCGTCTCCCTTCCCTCCTTGTCTGCGCCCTCACTGTCATCTCAAGCAGCGGTCACTAGGGCCGCAGCAGTCGGGTAGCAGGTGGGGGGGCTGGCCTGGCACACCGCTGATGCGGGTTCGATCCCTGGGACCACGGATGGTCCCCCGAGCCCCGCCAGGTGGGATGCCTTAGTGCAGAGCCAGGAGGAGTTACCCTTTTCAAAGAATTTATTTACTTACTGCTTTTTGGACCACACCCAGCAATGCTCAGGGGTTCCTCCTGGCTCCGCACGCAGGAATCACTCCTGGTGGTGCTCGAGGGGACCCTGTGGGATGCTGGGGATCGAACCCGGGTCAGCCGCGTGCAAGGCAAAGGCCCTACCCGCTGTGCTATCGCTCCAGCCCCAGGAGTTACCCTTTTTAAAGAATTTATTTACTTATTGCTTCTTGGACCACACCCAGCAATGCTCAGGAATCACCCCTGGCGGTGCTCTGGGGACCATATGGGATGCTGGGGATCAAGCCTGGGCTGGCCGGTGCCAGGCAAATGCCCTACCCACTGTACTATCTCCCCAGCCCAGGAGGAGTCACCCTGGAACATTGCTGAGTGTTCCCCCCTCCAAAACAAAAGTGAATTACATGAACAGAAGCAGGCTTTAGGCCTCCATCTCTGCCCAGGGTCCGGAAGCGCCTCCTCTGTCCCCAGCTTCGTCCTGGCAGAGAGGGATCTCGCTAGGGAGACCCCCACCCCCACCCCTAGGGCTCGCTCCCCTTCCTGGGATGCCGCCAGCAAATCCAGGCAGGGGACAGGCGGCCGTATTTCCGACCAGCCTTGGGGAGCCCCTGGCGGGTCCCCCCAGGGAATCCTCGGGGGTCCTGACGTGTCCTCTCCTCCCGTCCAGATAGCCAGCATCCTAGACTGCCACGCGGCCACCCTGCAGCGCAAGGCCGACCGGGAGGCCTTCTTCATGAACACCCAGAGCATCGTGCAGCTGGTGCAGAGGTGAGGCCGGGCTGTCTTCACGCTCTCACCGGGAAGGGGCCAAGTGACACCCGGAGGCCACGACGGCTGTGTCTGGGCAGACCCCTGTTCTGAAACCACCCCCTGGACCTCCACCTCGGTGGAGCCCCCTCCCTCCCCCCGGCTGCTTTGCCCAAGGCCCACATAGACGGTTCCGAGGGCCGCGTGGGTCCAGAGCTGGGAAGTGTGAAGCTCTCGGGGACTTGGATCCGAGCTCGGAGGAGAAAGGGTCCGAGGCACCGTGTTCGCCCACCGCCCAGTTCACTCTCCCGCATTTCCGGAGCAGCATCTCTAAGCTCTACTGTAGGGGCTGGAGCAATAGCACAGCAGGTAGGGCGTTTGCCTTGCATGCAGCTGACCCGGGTTCGATTCCCAGCATCCCATATGGTCCCCCGAGCACTGCCAGGGGTGATTCCTGAGTGCAGAGCCAGGAGTAACCCCTGTGCATCGCCCGGTGTGACCCAAAAAAAAGCAAAAAAAAAAATCAATAAACTCTACTGTACCCACACCCCAGTAGGGGCTCCCCAGATGGGATGGGAGGGGACGCAGAAGCCAGCCAATCTTTTTTTTTTTTTTTTTTAATTTATTTATTGAATCACTGTGGGAAAGGTTACAAAGCTTTCAGGTTTATGTCTCAGTCATGCAAATATCAAACACATTTCCCTTTACCAAAACTTATTTTTTACCCTGAAGAACCCCAATAAAACCCCACCCCCCACCCCTCCCCGTCCCTGTGAGGCAGATGAATTCTAGTTAACACTCTATCTGCTTTGATTAGATTCATTGTTTCAATAAGATTCACCACTATTATTTAGAGTTTACCCTCCCCCCAAATCAGACATGCTGAAAAAGCATTGTGAAGTGATTTGCTTTCTACAGCTGGGTTCAAGAATTAAATGTTGGTTTTGGATTTCTGCTATTTTACCTATTGACCCTGGAAGTATTTCTACTGAAAGTCAGATAGTTAAGAAATTGGTTTCTGTGTTCTGGAGTCGTGGCCGTGCTGGAGAGCCGCTCGCGGGGGGCAACCGGTGGCCTCGGTAGGGCGTGAAGGGCGGAGCGAAAGGCCCCCCTTCCCATGAGGTTTTAGTCGCCCCCACACTCCCGGCTCCTACCTGCTGTCCACAAGGCTCCCATGTGGCCGCCATCTTTCTTTCCAGAGAGGAGAGGGCGAATGGGGCAACACCCTTTCCCCTCCGGCAGACTTGATGGGCTGGATCAACGCATAGTCCGTTCACTTTTCTGCTCCAAGCTGCTGGGTTCTGCATTAGGTCATTGTGCTTCTGGGGCTGTGGCCGTGCTGGAGAGCCGCTCGTGGGGGCAACTGGTGGCCTCGGTAGGGCGTGAAGGGCGGACCGAAACGCCCCCCTTCCCATGAGGTTTTAGTCACACCCACACTCCCGGCTCATACCTGCTGTCCACAAGGCTCCCATGTGGCCGCCATCTTTCTTTCCAGAGAGGAGAGGGCGAATGGGGCAACACCCTTTCTCCTCCGGCAGACTTGATGGCCTGGACCAACGCATAGTCCGTTCACTTTTCTGCTCCAAGCTGCTGGGTTCTGCATTAAGTCCTTGTGCTTCTGGGGCCGTGGCTGTGCTGGAGAGCCGCTCGTGGGGGCAACTGGTGGCCTCGGTAGGGCGTGAAGGGCGGAGCGAAAGGCCCCCCTTCCCATGAGGTTTTAGTCGCCCCCACACCCCCGGCTCATACCTGCTGTCCACAAGGCTCCCATGTGGCCGCTATCTTTCTTTCCAGAGGGAGGAGGGCGGAAGGGAGCAACACCCTTTCCCCTCTGGGCAGAAATGATTGCCTGGATTAACGCATAGTCCTTTCACTTTTCTGCTCCAAGCTGAAGCCAGCCAATCTTGACTAACAAAAGCATGACCACGGGAGGCTCAGCTCGTGTCAGCAGTTCAATGACCCTCTGACAGGGACCTTATGTCCCCCTGGGGAGATGCAGCAATTTTCACACATTTTCGCTGACTGAAGTTTTTTTTTATTATTATTATTATTTTTTTTTTGCTTTTTGGACCACACCCAATGATGCACAGGGGTCAGTCCTGGCTCTGCACTCGGGAATTACTCCTGGCGGTGCTTGGGTGACCCTATGGGATGCTGGGAATCGAACCCGGGTCGGCTGCGTGCAAGGCAAATGCCCTACCCGCTGTGCTATCGCTTCAGCCCCTGAAGTTTTACTTATTTATTTATTTTTAACATCATTTTGTTAGCCGTTCAGTGGTCACGAGCAAGATAAAAGGAATTGTTTGGGGCCCGCGACGGGGAGCGGGCTTGAGGGGAGGTTGGGAAAATGGAGTCGGGTGGAGGCAGAGGTGGTGAGATTGGGCTTGGAGGCGGGAGTCCCTGAGACAAATGCTTCGTGAATGACTTTGTAAGCCATGGTGCTTAAATAAAGCGTGTGTATGTGTGTGTGCGTGTTGGGGGCGGGGGGCACGGAGCGATAGTACAGCAGGTAGGGTGTTTGCCTTACACGTGGCCGACCCAGGTTTGACGCCCGGCATCCCATTTGGTCCCCTGAACACTACCAGGAGTCATTCCTGAGGGCAGAGCTAGGAGTAAACCCTGGGCACCACTGGGTGTGACCCAAAAAGATAAATAAATAAATAAATAAATAGCGCAGGGGTGGGAGATAGGGAAGAATGAGAGACCAAATGTCCAGGACCCTACAGCTCCTCACTGGAGACGTTGTTGAGAAGGAGGTTGGCAGAAGGATTGTTTCCATTGAGCAGATCCTGGGCAAAAGGAATTGTCCTGATGATGAAAAGAAAGAAGGGCCCTCGGGCACAGAAGCACCCAGGGAGGAAACTTTGCTGCCGGAAATGGGATTGAAGTGTTTCCAGACTGGAAGAAATTCCTTCGCCACTGGTCCACCATGCAGTCCAGAATTCCGGGGGACACGGGTGCTGGTCCTTCCTTCTTAGGGAGCTTCCTGTCTCGTGGGGACTCGTGACGCCTAACGGGTGACCTCTGGGGAACAAGCTCTCAGCATGGGTTCCCCCAGAGAGGAAGAGGAGGGTGGGGAGGGGAGCCCTTGGCCAGAACCCTTGAACCCACTAGCCCAGAGCAAGTCCTCCAGACACAGAGAAGTGCCTTGAAGGCGTGGACAGGTGATGCACGAATTGAATTCGCTGCAGATTTTTTTTTCTGTGCACAGAAATTGTCTTCTCTCTGTGTTGGGGAGGGGGGCGGGGTGTCAGGAGGCGTCTGCATTTCACTCGCCTTTTAGGTTCTTACTCTCTCACTGGGCTGGAGCGATAGCACAGCGGTAGGGCGTTTGCCTTGCACACAGCCAACATGGCTGACCCGAGTTCGATTCCTCTACCCCTCTCGGAGAGCCCGGCAAGCTACCGAGAGTATCTCGCCCGCACGGCTGAGCCTGGCAAGCTCCCCGTGACGTATTCGATATGCCAGACACAGTAACAACAAAGTCTCCAATGGAGACGTTACTGGGCCTGCTGGAGCAAATCGATGATCTACGGGAGGACAGTGACAGTGACAGTGACTCTCTCACTGGAGGTGATGCTGGGATTAAGCTGATTTCCGTAGTCTTGAAAACTCATCATCGCATCTAAGAATCCCAGTCCGGCGGGTTCAGAAATGATTGAGAGGAGGAATGTTTTGGGGCAGCAGCCAGGTTGAACTTTGGTTCCGTAGGAGATGGGAAACGAGGTCTTTGGGCAAAAGTCTGTCAAGGAGTGTGGTGTGTATGTGTGTGTGTGTGTGTGTGTGTGTGTGTGTGTGTGTGTGTGCGCCCAACTGTCTTCAAGCATTGGACCGCTGGTGGAAAGTCTCTCTTTCCAACCACGCGTGCAAGGCGGGCTCTTTTCCACATCTCGGTGCTCGGTGCCTTTCCTCCTCCCTGGAAAGAGCCAGCGCCCTCCAAAGGCCCAGCCTTGGTCTCTGCCTCATCTCGTGCCCTCGGTCGGTCTCACCCCTGCTCCCCTCGGGGCCTGCAGAGTGGGCCCCACCCATCACCTGCCCTTCCCTGCCCTTGGATTGGGAACACCGCCCCTGACCCTCTGCTTCCCTCCCGTCGAGGTCAGGCGCCCCTGGCCGGCATCCCGGCATCCCGTGCGAGCAGGTCGAGCCGGTGGCGAGGCCTCCGCCCTGTGGGTCAAGGCCTCCTTCTCCCGTCCTGCAGGTACCGCAGCGGCACCCGCGGCTACATGAAGGCGGTGGTGCTGGACCTCCTGCGAAAATACCTCCAAGTCGAGAACCATTTCCAGCAAGGCAAGAGCCAGCGCTGCCACCCACCCCGGGACCCGCGAGCCCTCGGGCTGGAGGGACCCAGCCTGACCCCGCGCCACCTTCTGTGTCCTTCCAGCCCACTACGACAAGTGCGTCATCAACCTCAGGGAGCAGCTGAAGCCAGACATGTCCCAGGTGCTGGACTGCATCTTCTCCCACGCGCAGGTGGCCAAGAAGAACCAGCTGGTGATCATGCTGATTGTAAGTGGGGACCGTCCCCGGGACGGGGGCGGTGGCCATGTGGGTTGTGTGCAGGGGACCGTCCCCAAGGTGTCGGGGCCAGCTCAGAGGTTTACAGGAGCTTGCTGGAAAGGATCGTGGACTCGGTATTTGGTGCTGCCCTTCCCGGATTCTCTGACCAACCCCCTCCCCGAGGCCCTGCTGCCTTGGAAATCCAGCCCCCGCCGTGGCTGTGGTGGTGATGGCCCTAACTCCAGAAGCAGCTCCCCCATGCCAGCCCCTCCTGACAGCAGCTCACTCACTCCTGTGGCTCTCCGAGGGGCCGTTCTTCCCACTCCCAGGGCAGGGCGCAGAGGTGGGCTCACTTGTCTCAGACCTCAGAGTTCTCCAGTGTCCAGCCAGCGCGAAACCCTGCCTGGCTCAGACTCGGGAGCTCCTTGGGGACGGGGGGTACCCCAGCCTCGTCCTTCCCTGGGTCCTCCTTGGGGAAGCTTTCTCTCTGCTACCTTCTCCCACTCCTCGCTAGAGTTCCCACTAGTTTCCAGTCATTTTCTGCTTCTGGTTAAAGAATGCCTTGGGGGCTGGAGCAGTAGCACAGCGGGTAGGGTGTTTGCCTTGCATGCAGCGGGCCCGGGTTCGATTTCCAGCATCCCATAGGGTCCCCCGAGCACTGCCAGGAGTGATTCCTGAGTGCATGAGCCAGGAGTAGCCCCTGTGCATCGCTGGGTGTGACCCCAACCCCCCACCAAAAAAAAAAGAATGCCTTTCGGGGCCGGAGCAATAATACTGTGGGTAGGGCACTTGCCTTGCCCACGTCCAACCGAGTTCCATCTCTGGCACCCACATGTCCCCCCAAGTCCCATCAGGAAAAAGCCCTGAGCACTGCCAGGTGTGGACCCCAAATTTTCCTCCCCACCCCCCCCGAAAATGAAACTGAAAAAGAAGGTCCCTGAGCAGTCACGACTCTCATCATAGCCCCTGAGCCCGTTAGTGGTCAGCAGGAGACTCAGGGGTCGCAGTGTCCCTCCATGGTGTGACCCCACAAAGCCGACCTGAGTCCGGGAGAGGGTGGCCAAGATGCGGTTCCCGCGAGACGCCCTGCACCCTCGGCCCGGCCAGCACCGTGGTGGGGCAGGCAGGCGGCTCACCCCGGCGCACCCCATTGGTCAGTGGCCAGTCTCCAGTGGGATTCAGGGAGCCCTTCCCAGGCCCCTCCTGCATCTCAGGCCATGGAGAAGCAGAGGGCATTCAGACACTGCCCTGGCTCAGAAGAGGGGGCGGGTGCAGGGGGCCCCCATCTTGCAGAGAGCCAGCACCCTTCCTGCCACCTATAGGAAACTTCCCCCGCCCCAGGCTCAGGCATCCCAGCAACAGAGTCCCGACTCAGTTTCCCCTGTGCCTCTTGGGACCTGGTCAGGTGGCGGAAGGGGATGTGGGACAGACGGTTCCCATGTGGCTCTGCCTTACTCGGGCACGAGGTCTGGGGCAGGGCACCCACCATGCCTCTCCCACCCGCCTGTTTTCTCATGCCCTAGCGTGGGGTGCAGGGGAGGGACCCCTCGGCGGGTCGAGGGGACTCAGGGAATGACCCTAAAGAAAGAACTGGAAGCCCACTTGCTCACGGATGCATGTTGGTGATCATGAGTGAGGGTTTTGAGTCCAGGGCCAGAGTAATAGCACAGCGGGGAGGGCATTTGCCTGCCACGCGGCTGATCTGAGTCTGATCCCGGCATCTCATTTGGTCCCCCGAGCACCGCCAGGAGTGTACCCTGAGCGCAGAGCCAGGGTCAGCCTTGAGCACCAACAGGTATGGTCCAAAATTTTAAAAATTTGGACCAGAGAGAGAGTCCAGTTGGTCAGGGGCTTGCCTTGTTGTGGCCGACCCAGGTTTGATCCTTGGGACCCCCGTACTGTCCCCAGGCAACCACTAGAGTCTGCCTTGAGCACTTCTGGGTGTGGCCCAAATTTTTTTTTGTTTGTTTTTTGGGTCACACCCGGCGATGCACAGGAGTTACTCTTGGTTCATGCACTCAGGAATTACTCCTGGCGGTGCTCGGGGGACCATGTGGGATGCTGGGAATCGAACCCAGGTCAGCTGCTTGCAAGGCAAACATCCGACCCGCTGTGCTCTTGCTCCAGCCCCGGCCCAAAATTTAAGAAAAAATAATTTGGACAGCTGGTTGTATCTTTGTTTTTTTTTTTTTGCTTTTTGAGACACACCTGGCGATGCACAGGGGTTCCTCCTGGCTCTGCACTCAGAACTTACTCCTGGCGGTGCTCGGGGGGCCATATGGGATGCTGGGAATCGAACCTGGGTTGGCCGGGTTTGCAAGGCAAACGCCCTCCCTGCTGTGCTGTCGCTCCGGCCCTGGTCATGTCTTTCTTACAGGAGGTCTAGGGCACGACTGGGGGTGAGAGAATGAGTCAGCGAGTGAAGGAATGAGTGGTGGGGTCTGTGTGGCAGAGCTGGGGCAGGCCTGGGTGCGAGCCGAGAGCAGCATCTGGACTCCGTTTCTCTCCCCGTGAAGGATGAACTCTGTGGCCCCGACCCCTCCCTGTCGGACGAGCTGACCTCCATCCTCACCGAACTCACGCAGCTGAGCAAAAGCGAGCACTGCAAGGTGGCCCTGAGGGCCAGGCAGGTAGGGACGGGTGTGGGGGTGCCACCCTCCCAAAGCCCCCCCCCCCGCCCCTGGGAGATGCTCAGCCCTGCCCCTCCGTGCGCCCTCCCCCCGCAGGTCCTGATTGCCTCCCACCTGCCCTCCTATGAGCTGCGGCACAACCAAGTCGAGTCCATCTTCCTGTCGGCTGTGGACATGTACGGCCACCAGTTCTGCCCAGAAAACCTCAAGGTGAGGCGGCCTCTTCTCATCACCCCTGGCTGGGGCCCTGGGGTGCCCGGGAAGGAGGCAGCTCTCGGGAGACTCCAGGTGAGGGGGCAGAGGGAAGGGGCAGCTTTGGAAACTGTAAGCGTTCCTGTGCAGTTGTGGCTTCGTCCCGACCCCGAGCTCATTTCGCAGCCCCTGACAGAGGTCAGCGGGGGCCTCCGGGAGCGTCTGGACAAGCTGGAGCCCCCTCGGCCTCCCACTGGCCGCTTCTCCCCACCCGCCTGGCTCTTGGTTTAAAAACCTGAACAGGTGGCTGGGGCGATAACACAGTGGGGAGGGGCTGGAGCGATAGCACAGCAGGTGGGGCGTTCGACCTGGGTTCGATTCCCGGCGTCCCATAGGGTCCTCCGAGCACCGCCAGGAGTAGTTCCTGAGTTGAGGGCACAAGGCAGGAGTAACCCCTGTGCATCGCCGGGTGTGACCCAAAAAGAAAAAAAAATGGGGAAGGACCCTCACTTGCCCAGGTTCGATTCCTGGCATTCCATAGTGTCCCCCGAGCACCGCCAGAAGTGACCCCTGAGCGCCTCCCAAACAAACAAAAATAAGGAAAACCTGAATTGAACTTCTCCTTTTCTCCTTTCTGTTTCGGGCAGAAATTAATTCTTTCAGAAACAACCATCTTTGACGTCCTGCCCACGTTCTTCTACCACACAAACCAGGTCGTCTGCATGGCGTCCCTGGAGGTGAGTGAGAGGGGGTCCACGGCCCGTCCCTGCTGCCACCCACCCGACCCCACTTGGCGGGGGAGGACTGAGAGATCTCTCTTTATTTCAGGGCGCGACAGGGTTTGGGTTGATGGATTTGGGGGAGGGGGCTCCCATGCAGGACAGCGGACACAGGCCACACGATCCCTTGAAATGCACCTCATTGGCCTCTGTGGGCTTTGTTTGGAGAATTTTAAACATCTAGGGGCTGGAGCGACAGCACAGCGGATAGGGCGTTTGCCTTGCACGCGGCCGACCCAGGTTCCATCCCCAGCATCCCATATGGTCCCTTGAGCACCACCAGGAGTAATTCCTGAGTGCAGAGCCAGGAGTATCCCCTGTACATCGCTGGGTGTGACCCAAAAAAAGAGAAAAGAAAGAAAGAAAGATACATCTAGATTGCTGTTTACATTGATGACACATTGAAATGCTAATATTTTTAGATACTAAGAGGCCATGAACTCTGTTCATCAAATCGTTTTTGCCAGGGCCTTTTTTTACAACTCCTTGAAGATCCAGAATGACATTTAAATGACTCTAGATGACTCGTCTTGCATTCCTATGGAATAGCCCCACGTTAGAGCAGAGCAGGACTCATCAGCTGTGGCCTGTGTGCCACAAGGCTGGCCCGCTGCCTGCTTTTGCAGATAAAGTTTTATTGGGATGAAGCCACACCCCTTCACCTGCATGGTGACTGAGGTGGGTCCCTTGCTGTGAGGCAGGACTCTGCAGCCACAAAGGAGGACATAGTTCCCCCCGCAGAGCCTTAAGGAGTCTCCACCAGGCCCTCGGCGGAGAAAGTGGCTTTATGAAGTGTCGTTTGCGCATGGCGGGCCTGGGTCTCCGTGCCTGGTCCCGGAGACGCCCACCGCGCCCTCACCCCGCAGGTGTACGTGCGGAGAGGCTACATCGCCTACGAGCTCAACAGCCTGCAGCACCGGCAGCTCCCCGACGGCACCTTCGTGGTGGAGTTCCAGTTCATGCTGCCCTCTTCCCACCCAAACAGGTACGGGGGCCAGGGCTTCCTTCCCCCTCGCCGCCCGTCTCTGGAGGGGACCAGCAGGGCTCTCTGGAGGGCACAGGGCACGCCGGTTTCCCCCACTGTGTGATCGCCCCACACCTCTGCCTTGTTTTCTGTCACCCTAAGGAGAGCCCACGGCGAGTGTGTGTGGGTGTTGGCGCTCACCCCGGAGTACTTAGAATCAGAGGGGATGGAAGTTAACCTCATCCTGCAGTTCCTTAGTCGCGCAGTCCAGCGTCATTTAAAATTACCGCCAGGGGGCTGGAGCAATAGCACAGCGGGTAGGGCGTTTGCCTTGCACGCAGCCAACATGGCCAACACAAGTTCGATTCCCAGCATCCCATAGGGTCCCCCGAGCACCGCCAGGAGCAATTCCTGAGGGCATGAGCCAGGAGTAACCCCTGAGCATCGCTGGGTATGACCCAAAAAGAAAAAAAAAATTACCGCCAGGAGTAATTCCTGAGTGTAGAGCCAGGAGTAACCCCTGTGCATCACCAGGTGTGCCCCAAAAAGAAAAAAAAAACCCATAAAATGCTGGAGGGCTTGGGGGGGTGGCAGGAGGGATAGTAAAGCAGGTAGGGCCTTTGTCTTGCACATGGCTGACCCGGGTTCAATCCCCGGCATCCCATAGGGTCCCCCGAGCGCTGCCAGGAGGAATTCTGAGTGCAGAGCCAAGAGGAACCCCCGAGCATTGCCGGGTGTGACCCAAACAGCAAAGAACAAAGTGCTCAGGGGGCCGCTGTCCTGGACAGGGCCATTCTGAAATGTTTCATCCTCCTCGGGTAGTCGCGAGGACAGGGAGGTCCTAGGCCATGCTCTGCCATCCCTGAGCCAAGAGACACACAGGGTTTAGGACAAGAAGTTGCCGATGAGCGTTTCGCATGAGCGAGTGTGAGCGTCCGCTGCCCCACCCCGTGCTTTAATTCAGCTTGCCCCGAGGTGTGTGTGTGTGTGTGTGTGTGTGTGTGTGTATGTGTGTGTGTGTATGTGTGTGTGTGTGTGTGTGTCTCTCTCTCTCTCTCTCTCTCTTGCAGACAAGGACCCTGGGGGACTTCACCTTGCCTGGGGTCCAGCGGCTTGTTCACAGGAAGCAGAAATCCGGGGTGGGGAGGGTTGGGGGGGCACCTCCCCCCAGTTCTTTCCACAGCTTTCCAGGGCATCCAGCCAGGGCAGGTGGCCGAGAGCGGGCCCTGATCCTCGGTCGGGGGTCCCCTGGGGTACCTGTCGCTCACTCACCGTCTCTTTTTTTTCACCCGTCTTCTTTCAGGACCCGGAGCACCGTTCTGCTCAGGTAGAGAGAATGCCTCCCCCGCCGGGCTCCACTCTCGCTGGGTCTGGGACCACCCCACCCCCTTCCTGCCTTCTCCCACCCCTCCCCGATCTCCTGGGCGTTCCCCAAGGCCTTGCTTGTGGCTAGGATGGTCTCCTTGTGACGGGGCTTTCCGCTGATCCCCTCTGAGCTCTGGGCCGGCAGGTCCCTGCTTTCCGGGAGAGAGGGCGCCTCCCGCGTGACCTCTCAGAGTGACGGAGAGCGAAGCCTCTTGTGGGTAGTGTGGAAGAGCGGTCGGTTCCGGGGGCTGGAAACGCTCCCTGTGTCCTCCCCGAATCCCCCTTCCGTCCCACCCTTCTTAGTTCCCGGAGGGACACTGAGACAAAAGGGATGCTGGTGGCCTGGAGATATCTGGGGGCTGATGTGCAGGTTTCGTAAATTGTCTGCCCCCCCCATTCCCAGGAAGAATTCTTTTCCTTTCTCCTTTTGGTGCGGGGGCTCCCCGGCAGTGCTCGGTGTGGCCTGGGGGTCTCTCCTGGCCCGACGGGGTTGGTGCTTGGGCCGAGCAGTGGTTGGGGCCCACAGGATCATCACCCAGTGGCGCTGGTGTCGGGGACAGTGAGGGGCTGGGGGTCGCGCGGCCTGCCCAAGGGGCTGCAGTTGTAGCTCGAGGCCCCGTCTGAGCGGCGCCCCACCTTTGGGTGACTAGGCAGCTGGGCCAGGCAGGAATGAGGCTGAGCTAGCACGGTCGCCACAGCCATCCCCGCCATGAGTGACCTCTGACCCTGGCACCCAGGACCACAGGGCTGGACTGTGATTGCAGGGGACCCTGACAGCGCCACACGCCCTAAGAGTCCCCCAGGGTCTGCTGACCGCTCTCCGGGAGGATTCACTCGTGTCTAGCAGGGCTTGCGTTGGGATCAGGGAGCGAGGAGACGGGACATGCAGGCAGGGGTGGGGTGGGGTTTGGGGGCTCGGCCGGGTCCCCCTTCACGCGTGGGAGACCCAGAGCTGGGCCCTGCCCGGAGTCGCTCATGTGGGCCCGGCACGGCAGCAGTTCTGTGGGCATTGCAGGGGGGGCTGTGCTGCGCCCCTGTGCCCGGCCGCCAGTCCTGGTCCCCACCTGCCTCGCAGGCCCCTTCCCCCGCCTGGCTGTTCGTCTCGAGCAGGTTTGCTTCTGGCCAACAGCAGCCCCAGGGGCTGCTGCTCCTACGCTCTGCTGGGCCATCGGTGCTGGGGCGCGTGTTGGTTACTTACTCTGTCCCCCAGGGCGGCTGGCAGGAGCGGGAACAGGGAGGGAGCTGCCACCTGGAAGCGGGGCTCGAACCAAGCCCAGGGCTGGCACTCTCGGGCACACTGGTCTAGAGCCTGTCTGTCCGCTGGGTGCCCGGGGCTCACTGGCACAGGGTGTGTCTGTCCTCTGGGGCTCCAGGCACACTGGCCTATGAACGTGTCTGTTCTCTGGGGCACGCTGGTCTAAAACGTGTTTGTTCTCTGGGGCACGCTGGTCTGAACATGCCTATTCTCTGGGGCACGCTGGTCTAGAACATGTCTGTTTTCTGGGGCACGCTGGTCTAGAACATGTCTGTTCTCTGGGGCACATTAGTACAGGGCGTGTCTGTTCCCTGGGTCTCTCCGGTCACCGGTACAGGGCGTGTCTGTTCTTGGGACTCCGGGCACTGGCACAGGGTACATCTGTTCCCAGGGTTTCTCTGGGCACACTGGTCTAAGCGTGTGTGTCTGTTCCCGGTCACCTGGTCTAGGGCGTGTCTGTTCTTGTTGCTTCGCTCACTCCCTGGGGTTTGCCTTGCAGGACTCTTGCTCCAAGTGTGACGTGCTTTTCCCCACCACCGCCGTGCCGTCCTCCAGGGCCGTCTGGGTGGGTGACCTGCCCGGGACCTTGGGTTCTGATTCACAGGTGCAGGACCCCATCCTACCTTTGAGATGGCATCAGGAGTCCAGGGGCCGTCTGGGAAGCAGACCTCGGGGCTCTCAGCTGGACTGGACCTTCCCCCACCTCCCTCCTGGGGTCTTGCTAGAGACTCACACAAGGAAAATGTTAAAGGGGCCCGAGTGATAGCACCGCGGGGAGGGCGTCTGTCTTGCACGCGGCCAACCTGGGTTCGATCCCCGGCGTCCCATAGGGTCTCCCAAGCACCACCAGGAGTAGTTCTTGAGTGCAGCGTCAGGAGGAAGCCCTGGGCACACCAACTGTGGCCCAGAAACAAAAAAAGAAAGAGGAAAATGTTGCTACTGAGAGCCCTTCAATGGAAGCATGAAAGGGCGAGACCCTCAGTTCTCTCCTTGGGGGGTCCAGGGACGTTTCCGGACGGGAGCGAGTAACTCCAGGGCCCAGGGCATCGAGTAGACCTCTGGGCCGCTCTCCAGGACACGGGGTGGGGGAGAATGAAGCGTCTGGCCCCTGGCCCCCTGCCAGCGGTGGTTCCTCCCTTGAAGTCCCTACAGACTCAGCCCTCCTCCCACCGTGGGGGGCGTTTCCCGAGTTCCCCGCTTCCCCGGCTCCGGCTCCGGGTGGGGGCTGAGGACCAGGAGGGACCGTGTCTGCTCCTGAGTGCGAATCGCAGCGTCTCCCCTTGGGGCTGGGCTGGGCTGGGCTGGACGCGTCGGTTCCCCTCGTGCCTTTGCTCCTCGGTTGGGCCCGCGTCAGGCCCCCGGGATCAGCCGGGAGTCTCGGCTCCGGGAGGCCTCCGGGGAAGGCGCAGCCTCACTGCCCGCTTCCGTGCCCGCAGGATGGCCGTGCCCGTCAGCGTCACCAACCCCAACCTGCTGCGGCACAGCACGGAGCTCTACATGGACAGCGGCTTCTCCCCGCCCTGCCAGCGCATGGGGGCCATGGTCGCCTTCCGGAGGTTCGAGGACTTCACCAGGTACCCCGCCCCCTGCCAGCGCCCAACACACGGTAGAGCTGGGTACCCACCCCCCTCCTTGCGTAGCTCTGGCCCCATGCCTGGCCTGGCACATTCTTGATCACAGGATAGGGCACATGCCTGGCGTGCACAGGGCCCTGGGTTTGCACCCCACAACAACTCCCCAAATCCTGCCAGCGCCCCTCTTCTTACCCCTGCACTCGAATTGTGGCTCCGTCTGTGTGTCTGGGTGTGAGACTCCGGGCCTGTTGTTTCAGCTCTCTCTCCCTCAGTTTCCTCTTCCGTACAATGGGAATGAGATTACCAGCACCAGGGCTGGAGCTATAGTACAGCGGGTAGGGCATTTGCCTTGCGTGCGGCTGACCTGGGTTCGATCCCCAGCATCCCATAGAGACCCCCCCGAGCACCACCAGGAGTAATTCCTGAGTGCGGAGCCAGGAGTGACCCCTGAGCATTGCCAGGTGTGACTCAAAAAGCAAAAAAGCAAAAACAGAAAAGATTACCAGCACCCCATAGAGTTCCCCAAGTCCTGCCAGGAGTGATCCCTGAGCAGAGAGCCAGGTGTGTCCCCCGAACCAAAAATGCTTGAAGAATATGATAAATACTGAGTTTAGAACATAACGACCAGACCGATGAGGGCTGGGTTAGTGACAGCCTTCGGCCCTGCCATTCTTTCCTGATTTTGTCCCTGTGTGTCATGCATCTTGGGGAGGAGGTGCTGTGGACCGAACCCCATGCCCTCTGTCCCTGAACCCGACTCCTCACTCTGCGTCTTGCACCTCTGTGACACCCTGTGGGGGGCTGAATGATTCCTCCTCCGTGGACTTGGGGGGGGGGGCGGCGGGAAGAGAGGTTCCCAGAGGACTCCAGTACCAGAAGGGAGAGCCCAGCTGACGCCTTACCTGGCGGGCACCCCTTCCTGCCTTCCCCACCTCCGCCCCCCCGCTTCCTTCCTCCCTTGTGGGGTGCCCCTCAGCGGCGCTGGTTCCAGGCCCCCGCTTTGCTCCTGGCTGGTTTCTCTGAGCAGGATGGGCCAGCGAGGGGGCGGCTGGTGAAGGTGGTGGACAGGGGCTGACCCAGACACTCTCCCTCCCCCCGCCACCCCCAGGAACTTTGATGAGGTCATCTCCTGCTTTGCCAACGTGCCCAGAGACACCCCGCTCTTCAGCACGGCCCACAGCACCCTGTACTCCGAGGTGGACAGTAAGGTGAGCTTCTGAGCAGAGAGGGGCAGTGGGGCAAGGGTGGGGGGGGTGGCCAGGTCTGGGGCCGCCCGCTGCCCGTGGGGTGTTCCTCCTCTGCAGGGCCCCCGGGAGGAGCCCATCCACATCCTGAACGTGGCCATCCAGAGTGCTGACCACCTGGAGGACGAGGAGCTGGTCCCCATCTTCCGGACCTTCATACAGTCCAAGGTGGGCCGAGCGACCCCGGTACCAGGGTGGGGGTGGGTTGTGCCGGGTCCCTGTGGCATCTGGGAGGCACCCCTGCAAGTGGGAGCCCCCCCCCACGCAGTGTCCCTGCTAGTTCCCTTTTGTCCTCCTGTGGTCGCCAGGGACCTGGGCGGAGGTGCCCAGGCAGCCATTTCTGTGTCTTTCCCGGCATCGTAGTGGCATCATTACAGCCACGTGTGGGGGCACAAGGGTCTCTCTACCTGTGGCACTAGACATGCCCCGTAGGTCTTTGAGGAAGGCTTTGTGGGGACAGCCCAGAAAACTCGCACCTGTGAAATGCTAAAAGGCACACAGTCCGAGACACAGTTGTGACACGCTCCGCCGAGAGCCAGACCAATGGATTCCTCTGCTGCGGCAAAGACTTGCTTGGTGGAGCCCCAGAGAGAGAACCGCGCTGGAAGCGTGCGCCTTGCACACAGTCGACCTGGGTTTGAGCCTGGGTGAATCCGAGCACATCCCAGCTGTTCCTCCCTGAGCACTGCCACGTAGCCTAAACACCAGAAGTAGGAGGACGTGCTTTCTGTTACACGTGTCTATGTTATTTATTTATTTAGCTCTTTGAGTCATACCCCGTGATGCACAGGGGTGTGACTCCTGGCTCATGTACTCAGGAATCATTCCTGGCGGTGCTCGGGGGACCCTATGGGATGCTGGGAGTCGAACCCATGTTGCAAGGCAAACACGGCGTGCAGGGCAAACGCCCTACCTGCTGTACTCTCTCTCCAGCTCCGTCTATGTTATTTAAATTTATGACACAGGATGTAAGTGTACTGTGCAGCACATAAAGCAACATAGAGAATAACCAGTGCCCAGAAACTGAGATCTGGTCTAGGACATTTACCAAGGGGGATGGGGGTGGAATCAGACTGAGGGCGACACTGGGGACAGTGGTGGAGGGAATGAGCACTCAGGTGGAGGGCGTGCTGCCGGAATGGTGTTTGCAAGAAATCCCGCCGTTATTATAAACGGGCCAGAGAGATAGCACAGCGGGGAGGGCGTTTGCCTTGCATGTGGCAGACCTGGGTTCCATCCCCGGCATCCCATATGGTCCCCCGAGTCCCACCAGGAGTGATTCCTGGGTGCAGAGCCAGGAGGAACCCCTGAGCACTGCTGGGTGTGGCCCCCAAACAAAAAACCAAACAAAAATAGTATTATCAACCATGGTGCCTAAAATTTAAAACAGATGTCTAGATTCAAGCCATAGTACAGTGAGGAGAGCAATTTGCCTTGCACCCGGACGAATCCAGTTTGATCCCCAGCATCCCATAGGGTCCCCCAAACCCACCAGGAGTGTTCCCCAAGCACAGAGCCAGGAATAAGTCCTGAGCATCGCTGGGCATGGCCCCCAAACCGAAATAAATAAATAAAATGTCTGTGCACATGTGCACACACTCGCACAGTCCGGACTTTGAGAGCCAGCACCCAGGCCCGTTGCACACGGTGCAATTTGTCTCGCGTCCTCTGCCCGCTACGGCCCCTTCCTGGCGCGAGTTTTCCAGTCCATCACTATTTTTGGGGGGCTGTCAATTCAATCTCATTGGGAAAGGGGCTCGGTCCATCCGTTGCCCTGTGATGGCCCTTGTCAGATAGAAAAAGGAAGCAGTAACTTGACTTTCGTGTCTTTTGGGGCCTGCTCCCCCATCCCCCTAAAACTGTTTCTAATAGCCTTTAAGTTTGTGGTGGAATCCACTGAAACTGGTTTTGTGCTTTTTCTTGGCTAACCTTTCTTGAAATCTGACATACCAAAAAGGGCCCCAGTCGTCAGCATACACGGCTGAGTTTTCCCGGCGAGTACCTGTGTTTGTGGGTGCAAGAAATGCAGGAGTTTGTGGGTGCAAGAAATGCAGACACCCAGCCCCCCACCCTTCACTGCGCCGGCTGGGTACCATAGAGATCACTTTCGTCTGCTCTCAGATTGTGCATGACCGAAGCTACACTTAGTACTCTTTTGTGTCAGGTTTTTATCCTTTTATGTTTTTTAATGGTGCTACACATGCACACCCGACCTTGTTTCATTATAGATTTCCTGACCTGTTACGTATCTGTGTATATTTTATTCATTATTGAGGTTTTTGTCTGGGGGTCACACCCATCATTGCTCACGACGTATTCCTGGTCTGTAGTCAGGAATTACTCCTGGTGGACTCTGGGGACTGTATGGGGTACCGGAGATCGGGCCTGGTTCTTTTGCGTGCAAACTCCCTTTCTGTTGTACTATCGCTCCAACTCGTGTGTGTGTGTGTGTGTGTGTGATTTATTTATTTTACCTCAGTTTTCCCTTTAGTCTATATTTTAATATAGCAGCAGCTTTTTTGAATGTCATTCATTTGCCACACGAAGTGTACACTTCAATCCTTTTGAGTGTGGCCACAGAAGTTGTGCGACCACCATTATTGTTATGTCTTCAAGCATTTTTGCCACCACCAACCCAAGACTGTAGCCCATTTTCCTGCAACCTCAGACTCAGTCCCCAGGTGCTTTCCTCTGTCCACACTTGGGTTGGGTTTTGTTTTGCTTTATTTTTTGTTTGGGGGCACACCCAGCGATGCTCAGGGCTTACTCGTGACTCTGCACTCAGGGATCACTCCCAGGGACATACGGGGTGTTGGGGATCGAACCTGGGTCGGCTGCATGCTAGGCAAACCCCCCTATCCTCTGTACTCTCCGTCCGGCCCCCCGTCCACACTTGGTGACCCTGAATCTCCCACCTGTCCCTCTGTGATCAGGTCTTGCCTGGAACACCAAGCACGCGTGTCAGCACCTCCCCCAACTTTGCTGCTGACAAATGCTAGCTCAGCCTGTGTTTGCTCTTTCTTTTCTTTTCTTTTTTTCTTCCTCTTTTTTTTTATTTTGCTTTTTGGGTCACACATGGCAATACACAGGGGTTACTCCTGGCTCAAGCACTCAGGAATTACGCCTGGCGGTGCTCAGGGAACCCTATGGGATGCTGGGAATCGAACCCGGGTCAGCTGCGTGCAGGGCACACACCCTCCTTGCTGTGCTATTGCTCCAGCCCCTGTGTTTGCTCTTTCATGCAGAAAAATATCCTGGTGGAATATGGACTCCGGAGAATCACCTTCCTGATTGCCCAAGAGGTCAGTGCTCTGTGGAATGGTTCCCTTCCACCTTGGTGTAAGACATCGGTCCCTGCAGAAGACTTTGCAAATGTCCCCCCTGCTGGGGAACCCTCGGGGGGGGGGGGGGGCAGCATTTAAAATCCACTGGAGGAAGGTCCAGACTTTGACACTTGGACACGAGCCTTGGTTTTTAACTCTTTCCTGTGGGTTTCTTTTGATTTGCAGAAAGAATTTCCCAAGTTTTTCACCTTCCGGGCCAGAGACCAGGTATGACCATGGCAAAGAGGCTGTTCGCTCTCCCCCAGCCTCTGCGACTGGGATGAAGGGCTGAGGCCCCATCCTGAAGGGGGGAGGGTCCGCATCTCAGAACATGGCCACGCTGGGAGACCCCCACCTTCCTCGGGGCTGCATTTCCGGGGGTCGGGGAGGCGGGGGGCGGCAGGTGTCCAGCCTGCCTGGGACTCTGACCACCTGCTTCCTGCCCACTCAGCCGTCACTTGCTGGTATGCTTGAGGGACGGTTCACCGGGCCTCTTGGGCGTCTGTGCTTCCAGAACAGTCATCGCCGATGATGGCTTGCAGGCTGCCACCTGTTGGTCCAAAATGTCTGGGACTCACCCACCCATTGGCCCTGGTGTCCACTGTGGCTTTCTTGCTCCAGGCTCTGGCGCACCTCCACAAAAGCCCAACGCCTTTATTGGGGGCGTGGGAGGGGCCACACCCAGCAGGTGCTCAGGGCTGACTCCTCGCTCTGCACTCAGGAGTCACTCCTGGTGATGCTCAGGGCACCCCGAGGGATGCCGGGGATCGAACCCGGGTCAGCCATGTGCAAAGCAAGCACCCTCCGCGCTGGACTATTGCCCAGCCGGCCCCCAGAGCCCCATAGCTCGAGCTCTGGCTGCAGTTCCCACTCAGGGGAGGCCACCAAGGCCCCATGCCTGCCTGCCTGCCGGCCCCGAGCACTCCAGGGGAATCGCAGGCCACCCTGGGTGGGGTGGGCCGGCCCAGGCGTCAGGCCCCACGTGCGTCCCTGTCCTTGCTGCCCTCCGCCCACAGTTCGCGGAAGACCGCATTTACCGGCACCTGGAGCCCGCGCTGGCCTTCCAGCTGGAGCTCAGTCGTATGCGCAACTTCGAGCTCAGAGCCGTGCCCTGCGCCAACCATAAGATGCACCTGTACCTGGGCGCCGCCCGCGTGAAGGAGGGCACGGAGGTCACCGACCACAGGTTCTTCATCCGGGCCATCATCAGGCACTCGGACCTGATCACAAAGGTGGGGTGCCTGTGCACGGGGGTGTGTGTGTCTGGTGTGTAGGTTGTACGTACGTGAGCGGTATGAGCAGCGTGGCGGGGGTCTGTGGTCTGTGCGTGATACGCGCGTTGGTGGTATGCACGGTGTGACGTGGGTGCGGTCCCCCCCGGTGCCTGGCGTGTCTGTGGTCCACGTGCTTGTAGCGTGTGCACTGTTATATGTTATGTGTGGTGGGTGTGTGGCCACTTGGCTGGGTTTGCTCTGGGTAGGGTGCTCTCAGAGACTGAGAGGGTCAGCCCCGGGCAGGGTCCCAGCACTCCGAGCATCAGGAGAGACAGAGCTAGCTGGGCAGCTGTGGCCTCCCGGCCCTACCCCCTGTGCCATTCTTTATTATTATTATCATTATTATTATTATTATTATTATTGGGCTGGAGCGATAGCACAGTGGTAGGGCGTTTGCCTTGCACGCAGCCAACATGGCCAACCCGAGTTCGATTCCTCCGCCCCTCTCGGAGAGCCCGGCAAGCTACCAAGAGTATCTTGCCCGCACGGCAGAGCCTGGCAAGCTACCCGTGACGTATTCGATATGCCAGACACAGTAACAACAAAGTCTCCAATGGAGACGTTACTGGGCCCGCTCGAGCAAATCAAGGAACAACGGGAGGACCGTGACTGTGATTATTATTATTATTATTATTTTGGGTCACACCCAGCAGTGCACAGGGGTTACCCCTGGCTCTGTATTCAAGAATGACTCCTGGCGGTGCTCAGGGGACCCTATGGGATGCTGGGAATCGAACCCGGGTCGGCCGCGTGCAAGGCAAACGCCCTCCCCGCTGTGCTATCGCCCCAGCCCCTCCCCGTGCTGTTCTTGGCTGGCACACGTCCTGGAGGAGCGGAATGTTCCCCCCTGCGCCCCCTCCCCGCCTGAGCCTCTGGTGTCCCCCCTCCCCGGCAGGAAGCATCCTTCGAGTACCTGCAGAACGAGGGGGAGCGTCTGCTCCTGGAGGCCATGGACGAGCTGGAGGTGGCCTTCAACAACACGAGCGTGCGCACGGACTGCAACCACATCTTCCTCAACTTTGTGCCCACCGTCATCATGGACCCCTACAAGGTCTCCCCGCGGGGCGCGGCTTTCCTGGGCACCAGATGGCCTGGGCGGGGAACAGGGGGATCAGCAGACTCGGCCTGCGTCCCGCGGAGCCTTCACTCTCACCCTCCTTTGTGGACCCCCCCACTCTGACATTCCCCCCATCGTGGGCATGCTCCACACTCGGGCCCCCACGGACGCCCCCCAGACCCCCGGACAAATCTGGTGAGACGAGACGTCTTCTCCCAGGAGCCCTGGGACACCCTGCCGTGCTGGGCTCTTTCTTCATGGGCCACGCGCGTTCCAGGAATGACTCCTGGCGGTGCTCAGGGGACCCTATGAGATGCTGGGACTCGAACCCAGGTCGGGGAGGAAGGTGAGGGGCAGCCCCTGGGCCTCTGTGGGGTGTGCAGAAACATCTGTGCAGTGCCCCAGCTGCCATGGTCCCCGTGGCTCCAGGGGAGAGAGCGTGGAGGAGGCAAAGGCCAGGATAGAAGGAAGCGCGTTGGGGCTGGAGCGAGAGCACAGCGGGGAGGGCGTTTGCCTGCACGGGGCCGACCCAGGTTCAATCCCCGGCATCCCGTATGGTCCCTGAGCACCACCAGGAGTCATTCCTGAGTGCAGAGCCAGGAGGGACCCCTGAGCATCACCGGGTGTGACCCAAAAAGCAAAAAAAAAAAAAAAAATAGGAAAGGTGTTGGGGGCGCCGTGTTCTCTCGCCGGTCAGCTTGGGGTCCACCGTCCACGGTTGGGAGCGGCAGTGGCTGGCCCCGAGCCGGTCAGCCGTGCCTGCTGCCGCTCCTCACACCCCTGCTGGGCCCGGCAGATCGAGGAGTCCGTCCGCTCCATGGTGATGCGCTACGGCAGCCGGCTCTGGAAGCTCCGCGTGCTGCAGGCCGAGGTCAAGATCAACATCCGCGAGTCCGCCTCGGGCAAGGTCGTCCCCATCCGCCTGTTCCTCACCAACGAGTCCGGCTACTACCTGGACATCAGCCTCTACGAGGAAGTGACCGACCAGAGATCTGGAAACGTAAGGCCGAGCGGGGCCCTGGGGTCCGCGTCCTTGCCCAGGCTTTGGGAAGGCCAAGGGGTGGCAGACAAGACCAGGGTAGCTCCTGGCTGGAATGTGAAGATTCCGATGTTAGGGTCTGAATCCTCCACCGAACCCCAAGTTTAATCCATTCTGGGGCATCTTTGGAAGAAGACATGGGCTGTTGTGCTGATTATAAAACGGCACTCAAATGGATATTTTTTTTATGTTTCATGTTAGATACTGGGGCCCAAGCGATAGTACAGCGGGTAGCGCATTTGCCTTGAATGTGGCCGACCCGGGTTCAATCCTCGGCATCCCATATAGTTCCCTGAGCACTGCCAGGAGTAACTCCTGAGTGCAGAGCCAGGAGTAACCCCTGTGCATTGCCGGGTATGACCCAAAAAGAGAGAAAGAAAATAGCTGCTTTTTTTTTATTATATGTTTATACAAATTTATCTGGACAATGGTACATGCATTTTCTGTTTGTCTCTCTCCCTGTCCACACACACACAGACACACACACACACATATATTTGGATTTGGGGGTTCAAGTCTAAGCCTCACATGCAAAACAAGTGCTCTTCTGCTGAGCTGCACCCCAGTCCTTGATTTAAAAGCAGACTTGAAAAATGACAAAGTCAAAAGACTTCTGTAGATCTGGGATGTGGCCCAGTGATTGGGCACGTGGCCTGGCGTGGTTTGTCCCTGGACTGGATCCTGGCACCTCAAGTGCAGGGTCCTTTTTGGTGGTTTTTTTTTTTTTTTTTGCTTTTTGGGTCACACCTGGCAATGCACAGGGGTTACTCCTGGCTCTGCACTCAGGAATCACCCCTGGCAGTGCTCAGGGGACCCTACGGGATGCTGGGAATCGAACCCGGGTCGGCCGCGTGCATGGCCAACGCCCTCCCCGCTGTGCGATCGCTCCAGCCCCTCGCTGGCTGATTTTTTTCTGTGCACTCCTGTCTGAGTCTGCAGTGTCACCTCCATTCCGGTTTCCCAGCTGTGCCTCCACCTCGCCCCCGTCTCTCCTTGGCGTTTGACCCCAGTGGCCAGGCACGAGTCCTCCTGGGCACTCTGGTGGTCATGGGATCAGCAGGCCTTGCTCCTCGCCCCAGTCCGCTCTGTTGGCCTCGGGGCCTCGACGAGAGCACTTGAGCGGGAGCAGCGCGCCTCCCTCTCTGCTTCTCTCTCTTCCTGCTCCAGATCATGTTCCAGTCCTTCGGCAGCAAGCAAGGACCCCAGCACGGGATGCTCATCAACACGCCCTACGTCACCAAGGACCTGCTCCAGGCCAAGCGGTTCCAGGCCCAGTCCCTGGGGACCACCTACGTGTACGACTTCCCGGAAATGTTCAGGCAGGCAAGTCCGGCCGCTGAGGGGCAGCAGCCCCCCGGGACCCCCTAGCGCCCCTCCAGCCCTCATCGAAAGAGCGAAGAAAGAGAAATCCATGTCGGGAGTGATTTTATAGTTTTTCTAGCTAGACCTTGATCTGGAAACGGGGCCCTGGGGTCCGCGTCCTAGCCCAGGCGTTGGGAAGGCCTGGAGGCAGATGAAGACGCTGGGAGGCCAGGCTCGAGCAGGCCAGCTCCTGGCTGGGAGTTTGGAGATCGAGATGTTAGGGCCTGACTCCCCCGCCGAGCCCCAAGGTTAATCCATCCCCGTGATCCGAGGGATCCAAGTCATCCTCCCGGGGATCCCAGGAATCGGGCAGAGAAACGTGGGGAAATGGAGCAGATTGGAGAGGGGCTTATAAGGAACATGCTGGAAGGGAGTTAAGAGAGAGCAAGCAGGTGGGGGGCCACAGATGCCTCCTCTCCTGGGCGACCACCTGGATGTGCTTCCGTTAAGCGTGTCCCCCAGGCCTTTGTGTCTGCGCGGTTAGGGTCTTGGCAGGAGACGGAACTCACAGGCATTGGCTGATGGTGTCTTGTCAGCCCGCCCCTTGCTCTGTGAGTGACATTCTTGAGAGCCAAGGCCGTGGACCTTGCTGATAGCAGGGGAAGTGTCAGAGGGAAAAACGGCTGTGCAGACCCCTTGGGCCAGGACCGGGATCCTGGGGGCTCGCCCTCCCCCCCCCCCCAACTCTGTGCATCTCCAGGCCAGTTCTTGCACCTCTCTGGGCCTCAGCTTCCTCCTCTGTAAACCGAGGATGATAATGGGACTTACTGGTGGTGGGAACTCTCTGTATTCAGTAGGGGCCTAATAAACGGGAACTTTCATGATGAAGCATGTCATCGTCTGTATCCTTTGCCTCTCACTGTAGGGTGCAGACAAGGCGGGGGCAGATCCGTCCCCTTTCCTTTAGGCAAAGTGGGAAGTTTCTCAGAAACAAAAAGTGATGTCCTGTCCGAGCCAGTCCAGGAAGAAATAGGAAATCTAAATAGATTAGCAGCATTAAAGACAGTGAGTTAATAGCTTGAAAAAATTGCCAGGTACACTGGGTAGGGCACTCGCCTTGGACCCGCTGACCTGGGTTTAATTCTTGACGTCACACGTAGTCTCCTGCCCACCTGCAGGAGTGATCCATGGTGCAGAGCCAAGAGTAAGCCCAGACGGCTGCCAGATGTGGCCCCCTAAAAAGAAAATTAAAAATAGGTGCTGGGGGGGGCTGGAGCAATAGCACAGCGGGTAGGGCGTTTGCCTTGTACGCGGCCGACCCGGGTTCAATTCCCAGCATTCCATAGGGTCCCCTGAGCACTGCCAGGGGTAATTCCAGAGCACAGAGCCAGGAGTAACCCCTGTGCATCAGCAGGTGTGACCCAAAAAGAAAAAAAAAAATAAAAATAGGTGCTGGAGTGATAGCACAGTGGGGAGTGTGTTTGCCTTGCACGTGGCCGACCCAGGTTCGATCCCCAGCATCCCATAGGGTCCCCCAAGTACAGGCAGGAGTAATTCCTGAGTGCAGAGCCAGGAGAAACCCCTGTGCATCGTGGAGTGTGACCCCCCCCCCCAAAAAAAACCTTTTCAGCTTGTTGTTACCATACTAATCTTAGATCAAAGGATTAGGAGAAGGACAATTTGTCACTTACTTATGAACACGGACATAAGAATCATAAATAAGGTAGTAAATAAAATCTGGAAACTTCTTTTTAAATTCACATCCAGTAAGGCTTATCTTGTAACTTTATTATGATTTAGTGTAAGAAATTCTATTTATATAATTTGGCATATTTCTCAGTAGGAACAAAAAATATTTGACACAGTAGCTTCTATTAAAAATAAAAACTTGTGGGGCCTGGAGCACAGCGGGTAGGGCGTTTGCCTTGCACACGTCCAACCCGGGTTCGATTCCCAGCATCCCATGAGCACCGCCAGGAGTAATTCCTGAATTCAGAGCCAGGAGTAACCCCGGTGCGTTGCCGGATGTGACCCAAAAAAGCAAATAAATAAATAAATAAATAAATAAATAAAAACTTGTTAGAGACTAGAAATTGAGGGGAATTTTCTTCTGTTGATAAAATATGTCAACCTAGAGTCAGAATGATTGGCAAGGGGTCGGGCATTTGCCTTGCACACAGTTGACAAGTATTGGTCCCCTGAGCCCCACCAGGAGTGGCCCCTGAGTGCAGAGCCAGGAGAAAGCCCTGAATACCACCAGGTGTGCCCCAAAACAAAAACAAACAAATACGTGTGTGTGTGTGTGTAAATAGGTTACCTAGTGGTGATTATCATTGCCACCACCTCTAGTCATTCGTGTTTTGTTTTGTTTGGGGGCCACACCTGGTGGTGCTCTGCTGGGCTTCTTCCTGGTTCTGTGCTCAGAGATCGCTTCTGGTGGGGCTCAGGCGTGCTGAGGCTCAAACCTGGGTTGGCCACGTGTAAGGCAAATGCCCTGCCCACTGTGCTATCTCTCTGGCCCATTTCTTCTCTTGTCATTTTGGACTGACGTTCTGTAGCCAGTTCTGAAAGATGAGAAAAAAGAAATAAAAGGCATAAAGACTAGGAAAGAACAAAAGCAAAAGGGCGGGTTTTGTAGATGATATAAATACGGATCATATAGTATAGGTGATATAAATAAGCAATCCAAGAGATTCTATAGACTCAGTTAGGTAACACAGTCAGCTTGCTAGTTGGAAGATCGGTATACCCAAAACACAAGAGAAATCGGTTGTCTCTTCCCTGGCACCGTCTTGCCTCTGTGTTACTATGACCGGTGGAATTGGTCCACCTGAAGTATGAGAGGACATCGCTTATCTCACTGGAATGAAACGGATTTCTATTTCTGTCTCAACTGGCAAACAAAATCTAGGCTCGTTAGAGTCAGTAGAAAGATAGCTAGAAAAAAGACCTGGAAGTTTCACTCTTCATTTTATAATTTTTGTTTTGTTTGGGGGCCACACCTGGCGATGCTCAGGGCTTACTCTTGGCTCTGCACCCAGGAGTTACTCCTGGCGGTGCTCAGGGGACCCTATGGGATGCTGGGGATCGAACCCCAGTCGGCTGCATGCAAGGCAAGCACCCTTCCCGCTGTACTATCGCTCTGGCCCCTGCTGTTCAAGTTTTAAACTTCTTTATCCAATAGAGCTAACAACAAGATCAGGGGTCGGACACCTGTCCGCATGCTCGTTTCCGGCCTGGGGGCGGGAATAGGTGGTCTGCGGCATGATTCTAAATCCAGGGGAGCAAAAAAGGCATGCAAACCTGCAGGCAGAGGGGTGGCAAAGAAGCAGACTCACGGGGGCCGTCAGTGCACTCAGAGGCACTGCTCCCTCACTCCAGGGCACAGTTCCTCAGAGAAATACAGCCCAAACCCAGTGCTGAGGAGTCTACGGAGTTGAGGGGTTTCTACACATTCTGCTGGGACGGCAAAGGCTTTCGACAATAAAAAGGGGGAAGAAGTCGCAGCTGCACAGGTGGCAGAGATGAGAGCTCCCCTCTGAAGGGGCCTCCGGCGGGGCCCTGCGAGGAGGGTACCGGGAATCCCAGAGAGCGCGGAGCAAACTAACTGACCCTAAAAAGAGCCCCAGCGCTGAAAACAGAGCAGCGTGGAAAAGAAATGAACCTGAGCTTAGATTGTAGTTTGTGGCTACAAATACGTCTCTGCCGGCATACCTGGGAGTCTCCAGGGCACCGGATGGAAGGACGTGGCTGTTTAAACATTAAGTCGCCCGGGCCTGGAGAGAGAGCACAGCGGGGTGGGCGCTGGCCTGGCACACGGCTGGCTGACTTGGGTTGGGTGTCCGGCACGCCATATGCCTGGCTCAGCACAATCAGGAGTGTCCCCCCAAAACAAAACAAAACTCCACGTGCCATAACACATGCAGATAAGGAACTGAAAATGTGAAGGCAGATTGCACTGGCCCGGGAGGCGCTCGATTGGGTTTAACATCTAGCCGGGGGCTGGAGCGTGGGGTGGAATGGTGAAGGGGTGGAGGCCACGCACTAGGGGGATTCACCCCTCTTTTCTTATTTCTTTCAAAAGTTCTTAAGCGGGCTTGGGTGATTTACAGTGGGGAGGGCATTTGCCTTGCACATGGCTGATCTGGCACCCCGTATGGTCCCCCAAGCCCGCCAGCAGTGACCCCGAGCACAGAGCCAGGAGTAACCTCCGAGCATCGCCGAGTGTGCCCCAAAGCCCAACACCACAGAAGGTTCTTAAGCAACCATCGGCACACTTTAGTTGAGCTCAGTCCTTCCTCTGCATTTGTGAGTTGCTTTGCAGAGTCTGTGAGTTTAAAGAGAAAAGGGAATCCTCTCCAACTCCCCACTGATGGCGGCAGGGGTTTCTCTCTCCTCCCATCTCTCTAGGCGCTCTTCAAACTGTGGGGCTCCCCAGACAAGTACCCCAAGGACATCCTGACCTACACAGAGCTCGTGCTGGACCCTCAGGGCCAGCTGGTGGAGATGAACCGCGTGCCGGGAGGAAACGAGGTGAGGACCCCGCAGGGCCAGCCCTGGGCCCCGGTGTCTCCGCCTGAGACCCCCGCCCGCTGCCCAGGCACGCCCATCTCGCCGCCAGGTGGGCATGGTGGCCTTCCGGATGAAGCTGAAGACGCAGGAGTACCCCGAGGGGCGTGACATCATCGTCATCGGCAACGACATCACCTTCCGCATCGGTTCCTTTGGCCCGGGTGAGGACCTCCTGTACTTGCGGGCCTCAGAGTTGGCCCGGGCGGAGGGCATCCCCAGGATCTACCTCGCCGCCAACAGTGGGGCCCGCATCGGCCTCGCAGAGGAGATCAAGCACATGTTCCAGGTGGCGTGGGTCGACCCAGAAGACCCCCACAAGGTATGTGATGCAGCCGGGCTGGCGGCGTGTGGAAGACAGAACCGCCCCCTTTCATCATCTCCGTGTTTTCCACGTGGGGCCACATCCAGTGATGCTCGGGGGCTGTTTCTGACGGACTCAGAAGGCCCCCGGAAGTGTGGGTGGTGGAGTAGGGGCATGCATGTACCTGGGCACCAGCTTGGGCTGGCCATGTGTGAGGCCAGCGCCCTGCCCTCCGTCCTGCTTCTCTGTCCTCCTCTATTTTTATATTTATTTATTTTTTCTTTTTGGGTCATACCCGGCGATGCACAGGGGTCACTCCTGGCTCTGTACTCAGGAATTACTCCTGGCGGTGCTCGGGGGACCCTGTGGGAGGCTGGGAATCGAACCTGGGTTGGCCACGTGCAAGGCAAACGCCCTCCCCGCTGTGCTATCGCTCCAACCCCTATTTTTTAAATTCTAAAGCACAGGTGTTGATGCTGTGCTGCACATGTTGGTATTAGCATCTCACAGGTGGCCGTGGCCATTACGGAACTAGGTCTCCAAAGGTTCCTTAGGGCGAACAGCTTGAGCAACCCCAAGCTAACACACCTCAGGACCCTCCCAAGGGCAGGGCCTAAAGAGAAAGTGTGTGGGAGTTACACAAGAGCTCTTTGCCAGGGCCCGGGGAGTGAGCACCACACGCAGGGTGTCTGCGTTGCGTGCAGCCAACCCCAACACCCCGATATAGTCCCCCCCCCCCCCCGAGTGCAACCAGGAACAATTCCTGAGCACCCCCAGTTGTGGCTTCGAACGGAAAGAAGAGTTCCGTGCCGCTGCGCGTTCTCAAATTGCCAGGGATTCTGGATGTCCACCACAGTGAAGGACCAAATCGAAGGGAGAAAAAAAAAAAAGCAACAAAGCACCTTGGGGGGGGGGGGGGGTGGAGCCGCAGGGAGCATCATCCTGTGTGGGCAGAGCCCGTTTTCCTGGCGCGATACTGCCTCTTGCCTCGAGGGGGCAGGAGAGAGTCCATGCAGCCGTGTCTGGGCCTGCAAGGGGCCCCTGGCATTCAGCAGGGAGGGCGTTTGCCTTGCAGGCTGCCGACCCTGTTGACCCTCTTCGATCCCCAGTGTCCCATCGGTTCCCCAGGGTGCCGCCAGGAGTGATTCCTGAGTGCAGAGGCCCACCCTGAGCATCGCTGGCTGGGTGTGGCCCCATAACAAACCCAGAAAATCTCTAATGAGGCAGCAGGACCAAACCCGAGAGCAGGAAGTGCGGAGGAGTGGGGGTGCTGGACTTGGTTACCCACTCGCCTCAGTGAGAGCAGTTCGGTGCTCGTGGTGTTGGCGCGGCTGGGTTTGGGGTTGGTATGTGGCTGTGTGGGACAGTGGCTGGCAACACAGGGCCCTGGGCTCCCAGCCTCACTTGGGTCTGGTGTCTTTCAGGGCTATAAGTACCTGTACCTGACCCCGCAAGACTACACCCGCATCAGCCCGCTGAACTCCGTGCACTGCACCCACGTCGAGGAGGACGGCGAGTCCAGGTGACTCTCCTGATGCCCGGCGAGCCCCTCGCTGTGCCAGGAGGCTCGTGGTGGCGGCTGGGGGTGGTGGTGTATTTGCATAGGGGACCCCCAGCCCTCCCCCACTTTCATGGTGCCCCTGATGACTCAGTCCCCTTGAGAAATCTCTGTCCTGGGCCTGCCACAAGTCTTGCCTTTTGCTGGGAAACAGAAATTAGATTCGATTCCTTGTCACTAGAGCTGCAAACATACCCTACTTAGGGCTGGGTTGTTTGTTTTTGTGTGTTTGTGTGTGTGTGGGGAGGGTGTTGGGGGGCAGGGTTTTTTTTGGGGGGGAGGGCACACCTGCAGTGCTCAGGGCTCATTCCTGGTGAGTTCAGAGGACCATCTAGAGTGCCAGGGATCAATCCTGGGTCGGCTGCATGCAAGGCAAATGCCCTACCTGCTGCCTGTATTATTACTCTGGACTTTGATTATTTTTTTTTTTTTTTGGTTTGTTTTGTTTTTGTTTTGCCTTTGAGTCACTCTGGCTCTGAGCTCAGGGAACCATGCAGTGCCGGGGCTGGAGCACAGGCCTCCCGCGTGCTGAGTCTGTGCTCCCGGGCCCTGCACTCACATTCTCTGACCTAAGACAGAGTGGTCAGAGTGGTGACAGAGTGGTGATTCGTGAGCTGAAGTGGTGGCTGGGCTCCCCAGGAAGGTCCAAGGTGCCTGGCCCTGTCGGACAGGAAAAGTGTGAGGTTTGATGTTTGGTTGTTTTCCAGTGGAGCTCACCAGAATTACCCGGGCTGGGTCTTCTGGAGAGTTCTGGGGGAGGGATGTGGAAGGGGACACTTCTGTGGTTGGGGCCAGTGAGATCTGACTTGGGCTCTGTGGCGTCTAGATGGGCGGATGGGGCTTACAGCCTCCCGTTTCTCTGTAGGCCAGACTTTGGGGGAAATTCGTGAAGAACCTCGGGGCAGGGGTGCAGGTTTTGTGTTGCAGTTATTAATGCTTGTACATCCCTCTTAGAAATTCTTAGGGCCAGCTGTGAGGGTCCTGGGCCCCATCTTCCCTTTCCCCATTTATTTAATTTTTTTTGGCCTGTTTTTGGGCCACACCCAGCAGTGCTCAGGGCTCACTCCTGGCTCTGCATTCAGGGCTCACTCCTGGTAGACTGGGGACACCATAGGGGATGCCGGGAATTGAACCTGGGTCAGCTGCGTGCAAGGCAGGCACCGTCCCCGCTGTCCCATCTCTCGGGCCCTGGCCTTCCCTCTCCCCTCCCCCCCTGCCCCGGGCCCTGTACCTGTAGGTTCTCCCAGGCCAGAGCTGGCCCTGGAGCCTGCGTTGGGTGCTCACAGGTACGTCATCACGGATATTATCGGCAAGGACGACGGGCTCGGCGTGGAGAACCTCAGGGGCTCGGGCATGATCGCCGGGGAGTCCTCGCTGGCTTACGAGGAGATCGTTACCATCAGCTTGGTGAGTCTGTCCCCCACCCCCCACCCCCGTTTGATTCCCCCTCGAGCCCCAACTCCTGCTCGCGGAGACTCGACGACAGTCGTGAAAGGAAAGAGAAGGGACGCAGAGCTGTCGACCTGGGGCCACTTCTGTAGCCTCAGGCCCCCAGCCTCGGTTTTGCAATGTGTTGATTTTTTTTTTTTTTGAGTGGGGCGCCATGCTCAGGGGTGTTCGGGTGAATCCTGGGGGTTCTTCGTTCAAAGCCCGCACTGTGTCCCCTGAGGCCTCTCCCCAGCCCTGCTTTGGGACGGTGTGACGCCCCTCCAGGCTTCCCGTCTGTCCATCTGAATCTCAGCGCCCATCACGGCCAGAGAGGTGCCGCCTTACCTGCCCAAGTAGCTGTCACTCTGCCCGGCCACACCCACAGCCAGTTTGTAGGGACTGTCGCCTCCAAAGCCTCTTTCCGTGCTCCGGGCTCAGTTTCCTGGTATTTATTTACTTAGTTTTTGGTCCACACCCGGCGACACTCAGGGTTTACTCCTGGCGATGCTCAGGGATAACTCTGCACTCAGAGATTTCTCCTGGCAGTGCTGGGGCACCCTTTGGGATGCTGGGGTCAAACCTGGGTCAGCTGAGCACAAGGCAAGTACCCCACCCACTTGTCCTATCTCTCTGCCCAGTTTGCTCATGTTTAAAAGACAGCAATTCACTACAGTGCTCTCTGCCTACTCTTCTTGACTTTCCGAAAATTACTTTGACTTTCCTTCTTTTTTTTTTTTTTTTGTAGTGGCAATAGTAGTAGCAGCGCTTCTTTTAAAAATGTTTTGTGGGGCTGGAGCGATGGCACAGCGGGTAGGGCGTTTACCTTGCACGCGGCTGACCCGGGTTCGATTCCCAGCATCCCAGCATCCCATATGGTCCCCTGAGCACCGCCAGGAGTAACTCCTGAGTGCAGAACCAGGAGTAACCCCTGTGCATCACTGGGTGTGACCCAAAAAGCAAAAAAAATAATAAAATAAAATAAAATGTTTTGTGGGGCTGGAGTGATGGCACAGTGGGTAGGGTGTTTGCCTTGCACACAGCTGACCCAAGTTCGATTCCCAGCATCCCAGAGGGTCCCCCGAGCCTCACCAGGAGTGACTCCTGAGTGCAGAGCCAGGAGTAACCCCTGAGCATCGCCGGGTGGGACCGAAAAAAGAAAAAAAGGTTTTGTTTGTGTGTTTGGGTTTGTTCTTCCCAGCAGTGTTCAGGGCCCCAGATGCCACACTGTGCCCTGGCCAGCCAGGTCAGACAGTTCCATGATTGGAGCTGGTGACACAGTGCTGCACCGGCTTTGGACAGCTGGACCACACCTGTCCCTGCTTGGGGGACCAATGTGGTGCCTGGGATTGAGCTTGGGACGTCCACATGCAGACCAAGCATGCTGTCCAGCTGATTAAGCTGTCTTCCTGGCAACCTTTTTCTTTTGGGGGGAGGGGCCCACACCTGGCGATGCTCAGGGGTTCCTCCTGGCTCTGCACTCAGGAATCACTCCTGGCGGAGCTCAGGGGATCCTATGGGATACCGGCGATCGAACCCGGGTCAGCGACGTGCAAGGCAAATACCCTACCTGCTGTGCTATCACTCTCACCCTCTAACATTTTATTTTCAGTGTCACTGTCACTGTCCTCCCGTTGTTCATGGGTTTGCTCGAGCGGGCCCAGTAATGTCTCCATCGTGAGACTTGCTGTTACTATGTTTGGCATCTCGAATACGTCACGGGAAACTTGCCAGGCTTTGCCATGCGGGCGAGATACTCTTGGTAGCTTGCCGGGCTCTCCGAGAGGGGCGGAGGAATCGAATTCGGGTCGGCCTTGTCGACCGCATGCAAGGCAAACGCCCTCCCGCTGTGCTATCGCTCCAGCCCAACATTTTAACTTTTACATTTTTATTTCTTTTTTGGCTTTTTGGGTCACACCCGGAGATGCTCAAGGGTTAGTTACTCCTGTCTCAGCACTCAGGAGTCGCTCCTGGCGGGGCTCGAGGAAACCCTAAGGGGTGCCGGGGACTGAAACTAGCTCAGCTGCGTGCAAGGCAGACGCCCCCCTTCACTGTACTGTCGCCCCGGCCCCAACCCCAACGTTTTATTTATTTATTTTTTATTTTATTATTTTGCTTTTTGGGTCACACCCGGCGATGCACAGGGGTTACTCCTGGCTCTGCACTCAGGAGTCACTCCTGGCGGTGCTCAGGGGACCCTATGGGATGCTGGGAATTGAACCCGGGTTGGCCGCATGCAAGGCAAACGCCCTCCCCGCTGTGCTCTCTCTCAAGCCCCCCCAACGTTTTATTTTCCATTTGGGGTGTTTTCCTTTCCCATCCCTGGCCTGCTGCTGTGCTCACTGGGGTTGCACACGTCCTGGCAGCCGGATCAGGGACTCCATGTGGGTGTCACACCTGCAAGAGGCACCACATGTTCAGGCTTTAAGCATTCTCCGCAAATGGCCGGCTTGCGTTTATACTCCGCGGCCCCAACGGTCCACACTGCCGAGGGCAGATCATGGAGCGGCTCCATCTCCACAGGTGACCTGCCGAGCCCTGGGCATCGGGGCGTACCTGGTGAGGCTGGGCCAGCGGGTGATCCAGGTGGAGAACTCCCACATCATCCTGACAGGAGCGGGCGCTCTTAACAAGGTACCTTGGCGGTTGGGGCAGTCGGGAGGGGGATGGGGGACCCGAGTGGGGCCTGGGACTCAGCCCTCAGGATCCCCCCAAGGGTGCGCTCCCTACTGCAGTGCGGCTTCCCTTCCTTCTGATGCCAGGCAGGCTGGTGTCTCATTGGCAAGAACATGAACTTCATAGATGAGCCCAAAGCAGCACTGTGGCACTGTCCTCTCGTTGTTCATCAGTTTGCTCCAATGGGCACCAGTAACGTCTCACAACAAATTGTGAGACTTGTTGTTACTGTTTTTGGCATATCGAATACCCCACAGGTAGCTTGCCAGGCTTTGCCGTGCGAGCAGGATACTCTTGGTAGCTTGTCGGGCTCTCCGAGAGGGGCGGAGGAGTTGAACCTGGATCGGCCGCATGCAAGGCAAATGCCCTACCCACTGTGCTATCGCTCCAGCTCGCCGAAAGAAGGAGGGAGGAAAAAAAAAGTCACTAGGGGCCGGAGTGATAGTACCATGGGTAGGGTGTTTGCCTTGCATGCTGCCGACCCGAGTTCAATCCCCGGCCTCCCATATGGCTCTCCAGGCACTGCCAGGAGTAATTGCAGAGTGCAGAGCCAGGAGTAACTCCTGAGCATTGCTGGGTGTGACCCAAAAAGCAAAGAAAAAAAAAAGTTAACTATTTCCTGGTGGAACTTACTGCATTGCTAATGTTTGCACTTTGAGGTATGATTTAGGAAGGCCGGAGCAATAGTACAGTGGGGAGGGCGTTTGCCTTGCCTGCAGCTGACCTGGGTTTGATCCCTGGCATCCCATAGAGTCTCCTGAGTACTGCCAGGAGTGATTCCAGAGAGTAGAGCCAGGAGTAATGCTGGAGCATCACCGGGGTGTGGCCACAGAAATCAAATCAAATTAAAAATAAATGGAGCAATATTGGACAGTGGGTCGAGCGCCTTTTAAGTGGTCAGCCCAGGTTCGCTCGCTGGCTCAGTCCTTGGTTCGAGCCTGTGCACGGCTTGGTGTGGCCCCAAACCCAAATATAAATAAATAAAAGATGACTCAGGCAACCAGGAGATAGCACTGTGGTTAGACACATGCCTGGCATCCACCAGACCCCGCTTCCATTCCCAGCACCGAGAGTGCCCCGAGCTTTGTCGGAGTGGTCCGAGGATTCCCCAGCCCCCCAAAGTCCATGCAGCATCATATCCTGGGGCCTTGCATCGAACTGGTTGGCTCAGAATTACCAGTGGGGCTGTGGGGCCTCCCGAACACTGTGGGGAGGTTCCTCCCACCCCTGCTCCCGAAAGAAGAAGAAAAAAGAATCATTCATTCATGTTCTGGTTTGGTTTGTTCGGGGTCCACATTTGGCAGTACTCAGGGGCTACTCCTGGCTCTGTGCTCAGGACTCACTCCCACTGGGGCTTAAGGGGGCGTGTGATGGCGGATATGGAACCCAGCCCTCCTACGAAGGGACTTGTCAGGCCAGGGACCCATCTCCTCAGGTCCTGGTTGGATTTCAAGCTTTACAAATTCTCCGCCAATGACTGAAATGGCATGATAAAGAGCAGGCTAGCAGGAAAAGACAGGAGGGGCTTTGCCTCCTCCTCCGAGTCTAAAGTTCTCTGTTTCTCTCTCCTGCTTTTCACGGGGAGACTCCTGGGTGAGTGAGCTCTTTGCTATTTGCTCTTCTGCATTTTAAACGTTAAGTAAAACGTTTCCCGCATGCCCCCAACAAACCCCAACAGTCTAGTGCTGCTGCAGCAGCAGCTGCCCCTGGGGACTTGTTGGAAGCGTGGGTTCTTAGGCCCCCCAGGGAGCGGCTGGCGGGGTGGGGATCTCCGATGGGGATTTGCCCTGGATGGAGGTGAACTGAGTCAGGAGCTGGCTCGTGGGCTGGTGGAAGGAGGAGGTGAAAAGGAGAAGCCTTTAGATTCCTTGCAGTGGGTGAGGGTGCCGCCCCCGGACCATCAGGACTCCGGGGCAGGGGCGCGTCCCAGGGGCAGCCAGGGGGGGTGGAGGCGCTGTGAGAGGTGCTCTCGAACAGGTGGCTGGGCCCTGAGCGGGCTGACCCGGCCTTGTCCACCACGCAGGTGCTGGGCCGGGACGTGTACACGTCCAACAATCAGCTGGGCGGCGTGCAGATCATGCACAACAACGGCGTCGCCCACATCACCGTGCCCGACGACTTCGAGGGCGTCTACACCATCCTGGAGTGGTTGTCCTACATGCCAAAGGTATGCGACTGCCGCCAGAGCCCCGCCCCTCATCTCGGGGCCACGCCCCTTCACCCAGCCCCAGGTACCAGGTTAGAACCACGCCCAACCTCCCAGAACCCCGCCCCTCCACCCAGGGCCACGCCCACATCAGGACCACGCCCTACCGCCCAGAACCCCGCCCCTCCACCCAGGACCACGCCCACATCAGGACCACGCCCTACCGCCCAGGATCCCGCCCCAGACCAGGGCCACGCCCTACCGCCCAGAACCCCGCCCCTCCACCCAGGGCCACGCCCACATCAGGACCACGCCCTACCGCCCAGGATCCCGCCCCAGACCAGGGCCACGCCCTACCTCCCAGAACCCCGCCCCTCCGCCCAGGGCCACGCCCACATCAGGACCACGCCCACATCAGGACCACGCCCTACCGCCCAGGATCCCGCCCCAGACCAGGGCCACGCCCTACCGCCCAGAACCCCGCCCCTCCACCCAGGGCCACGCCCACATCAGGACCACGCCCTACCGCCCAGGATCCCGCCCCAGACCAGGGCCACGCCCTACCTCCCAGAACCCCGCCCCTCCGCCCAGGGCCACGCCCACATCAGGACCACGCCCTACCGCCCAGGATCCCGCCCCAGACCAGGGCCACGCCCTACCGCCCAGAACCCCGCCCCTCCGCCCAGGGCCACGCCCACATCAGGACCACGCCCACATCAGGACCACGCCCTACCGCCCAGGATCCCGCCCCAGACCAGGGCCACGCCCTACCGCCCAGAACCCCGCCCCTCCGCCCAGGGCCACGCCCACATCAGGACCACGCCCTACCGCCCAGGATCCCGCCCCAGACCAGGGCCACGCCCTACTGCCCAGAACCCCGCCCCTCCACCCAGGGCCACGCCCACATCAGGACCACGCCCACATCAGGACCACGCCCTACCGCCCAGGATCCCGCCCCAGACCAGGACCACGCCCTACTGCCCAGAACCCCGCCCCTCCACCCAGGGCCACGCCCACATCAGGACCACGCCCTACCGCCCAGGATCCCGCCCCAGACCAGGACCACGCCCTACCGCCCAGAACCCCGCCCCTCCACCCAGGATCCCGCCCCAGACCAGGGCCACGCCCTACCGCCCAGAACCCCGCCCCTCCACCCAGGACCACGCCCACATCAGGACCACGCCCACATCAGGACCACGCCCACATCAGGACCACGCCCTACCGCCCAGGATCCCGCCCCAGACCAGGGCCACGCCCTACTGCCCAGAACCCCGCCCCTCCACCCAGGGCCACGCCCACATCAGGACCACGCCCTACCGCCCAGGATCCCGCCCCAGACCAGGGCCACGCCCTACCGCCCAGAGCCACGCCCCTCTGTTAATAGCCACGCCCATCCCCCCCCTCCCACACACACACCCGGGTCCAGAAAGGTTCTGCCTGGATTCACCTGTTGTAGGTTGTGGGTGGGAGGCAAACGGGCCCCTTGCAGACCGGGATGAGAATGATTTTTTTCTTTGCTCTCCCCTCGTTCTCTGACAATTAGCCCGGCACGGCTTATGTTCGGGCTTTTTGGTTTTGTGCGGGGACTGTACTCGGGGATCACCCCAGGTGGGGCTCCGAGGACCGTTTGGGGGTGCCAGGAATCGAATCTGGGTCCGTCACATGCCAGGCAAGCGTCTTGCTCAATGTTCTGTCTCTCCAGCCCCTGACTTTTGGGTTTGGGGGCCACATGTGGTGATGCTCGGGACTTGCTTCTGGCTCTGGGCTCAGGAGTGGCCCCTGGAGGTCCTGGGGAGAACATGCACGTTGCCTGTAAGAGCCCAGGATGAACTTGCACTGTGCTCTGTTCATGCTGCCTAATGAGAAGTCAAGAACTCGGAGGTAACTCAAAGGACGCGTGCACATGCTCTGCTCGAGGGAGGCCTGGGCTCATTCTCTAGGACTGCATGGCCCCTGATTACTGCCAGGTGTCGCCCAAACCTCTCCCCCAAATCAGAAGAATACTGTCCTCTGCCTTTGTGTAGCTGCAAGGGTATAAGGAGTTGCGAGTGGGGGTGGGGTGACACACAGCCATGGTTGGGGATTATGCCTGGCTCTGTATTTTGTAAAAGCCACGGTGTTCTCGGCCAGGCCCACGGAAGGGAGTGGGACTGCTCTCAGCAAAAGAGGTGGTGACTGCTGGCAGGGCCGCCGAGAATCCTTAACTTCCGCAGTCGAGCTGGGTTTGGTTCCCGGCTTCCTCCTCGCTGGCACTGTCCCCTCTCAGCAACCTTCCTTAGCCGCAGCTTCCTCCTCCGGGGGACTGGGAGAGTGACCACCACGCTGCCCTGCAGAATTGTCATGAGGATTAAGAGAGCTGGTGTTGGGCCAGAGTGATAATACAGTGGGTCAGGTGCTCCCGCCTGGCACGGATCAACCTGGGTTTGGTCCTCGACATCTCAGATGGTTCCCCAAGGCTGCCAGGAGTGGACCCTGAGCACAGAGCCAGAAGTCAGCCCTGAGTATTGCTGACTGTGGCCCCATCCCCCTCCAACAGTTTTTTAAAACTAAGGTAGGGACTGGAACGATGATAGTACAGCAGGCAGGGCACTTGCCTTCGAAGTGGCCAGCCTGCGTTCGATTCCATTCCATATGGTCCCCATGGGTACCACTAGGAGCAACCCCTGAGCATCACTGGGTGTGGCCCCCAAACCCCCCCAAAAAAAAACTAAAGGAGAGGGTAGCGCTTGGTAGGTTCGAAGTCACACAATTCTCGAAAAACGTTGCAGCGAGCTTGTCTGTACGCACTTTTCTCTTCGGGTGTTCACCACACAGCTGTGTGAGTCTGTTTCCTGTCCCCTGCACAGGGAGTGCCTTTCGCCTTTCTGGCAGACAGGGGGTCTTCGGAACAGAGGAAGGAGGTCCCAGGGGCCAGGCAGACTCTGGCTGACTGGAACATTCCATGAAGGCCAGGGGGATAGCTCAGTGGGGGGACATTTTTGTTTGTTTTTCTTTTTTGCTTTTTGGGTCACACCCAGCGATGCACAGGGGTTACTTCTGGCTCTGCACTCAGGAATTACTCCTGACGATGCTCGGGAGACCATATGGGATGCTGGGAATCGAACCCGGGCTGGCCGTGTGCAAGACAAACGCCCTCCCCGCTGTGCTCTCTCTCCAGCCCCACTTTTTGTTTTCGCATGTAGGAGGCTTGGGTTTGATCCCCAGTACCAACTCCCTGTCCTCCAAGCATGTCCACGAGTGACACCTGATCCCAGAGCTAGGAGGAGCTCCGAGCACTGCTGGGTGTGACTTAAAAGACTGGGGTCTGCCCCGCACCCCTGCTGTCCCCCCACCTGCCCTGTGGTCAGTCTCTTGTGCTCTCACTGGGAATGTTTCCTCCTGTCCAGGCCTTCGATGATAGGAGTGACCCCTTCCTGCCTTGCCCCCTTCCTGGCCTCATCGAACCCATCGGAAGTGGGTTCTGGAGTCCCTGAACTAAATTTCTCGAGATGGGGGCCGGGGGGAGGCTTGGGGGCACAGCCAGGCTCTCGGGGGAACCCGAGGGGAAGCAGAGTGTTGACTTCAACCCCCAAGTGGGGTCTGGATGCTGTGCCAAGCCTAGTTGCAGCTTCACAAGGCACGTGTTCGGAGCAGGCCATGGGCACCGTGTCCAGCACCGGACCCTGAGCCGCTGGCCACCCCGTGGTGGCGTCTCTTCCAGGACAACCACAGCCCTGTCCCCATCATCACACCCACTGATCCCATTGACCGGGAAATTGAGTTTCACCCGTCCAGGGCTCCCTACGACCCCCGGTGGATGCTGGCAGGGCGGCCGCACCCAAGTAAGTATAAAGGCTTTGACCAGAGGCCCGAAGCTTCTGTCAGCCTCGAGGAAGAAGCTGAGCTATAACTGGGATCTCTGTTGGCCTTGATGTGGCGGGGGGTGGGGGGGTCGTTCTCTAGGGCTGGGATTCCTGACTTGTTGTGTCTCTTGCAGCCTGATTTTGATCGTTGTTGTTGTGTTCTTATTATGTGTTAGTGTTGGGGTTACTCCTAGCTCTGAGTTCAGGAGACTGTCTTGGCAGTGCTTGGGGGACCATGTGGGATGCCGGGGATTGAACCCAGGTCAGCCGCGTGGAAGACAAGTGCCCTCCCTACTGTCATGTTGCTCCAGCCCCGCTGGGTTTCCTTCTATAGTTTGTTTTTGGGTGGTTCGGGCCAGGGGCTGGTTTTCCAGAGTGTAATTTTCCAGAGTGAAAGGAACACGGAGCCCCGGGAGGCCCCATGGGCTGTGTACGGGGAGGCCCTGAGTTCGGTCCCTGGCTCCAAGTGACCCTGGATGCCCCGGGTCCTCCCACGTCTCTGCTGGGAGTGACCTTTATTAATTTTTTTTTTCAAAATACAAAAGGCGGGCTGGAGCGATAGCACAGCAGGTAGGGCATTTGCCTTACACGCAGCCGATGCGGGTTCGATTCCCAGCATCCCATATGGTCCCCTGAGTACCACCAGGAGTAATTCCCGAGTGCCTGAGCCAGAAGTAACCCTTGCGCATCACCGGGTATGACCCAAAAAGAAAGAAAAGAAAAGAAAAAGAAGAGGCACGTGGGCTCTGGTGGCCAGGCTGTCCTTAGGCTGGGGAGCTGGTGTCCAGGGAGCACGGGGCACCGGCCCAGCAGCCATCCTTCCCCTGGGTTTCATCTCTCACCCACAGCCATGAAGGGCTCTTGGCAGAGCGGCTTCTTCGACCAGGGCAGCTTCCGGGAAATCCTGCAGCCCTGGGCCCAGACCGTGGTGACGGGACGAGCCAGGTAACCCCTAGCTGCAGCCCCACGCGGGGTGTCAGGACTCCCCAGTATCTGGGCAGTGACCTCCACCCCAGGACACTTCCCCTGCGTGGGGCCTGGCTGGGGGGAGGGAATCCGGATCACTCAGCGGATTCGGGGGTCTCCGCCGAGCTTGGGCTGAGGGTCAGGCCCCAGAACCCGCTGTAGTGTCCCCCTCGGGGGATCAGAGGGCAGCCCCGGTGCTTGCCCCAGGAAACCTCAGGACTGTGCCCCTCAGGCACAGGCAGGGTCAGGCGGGGCTACCACCAACACTTGGTTCCCTGCACCCCACCTTCCAGGCTGGGGGGCATCCCGGTGGGAGTGATCGCTGTGGAGACGCGGACCGTGGAGGTAGCCGTGCCCGCAGACCCCGCCAACCTGGATTCCGAGGCCAAGGTGAGGGGGGCTGGCCCCGCTGGTGGGGGCGAGTGCCCTGGGCCCCCGGTTTTCTCTGGTTGTTCCCGCCGTGCGGGTTGTGGAAGGGGCTGTCACCGTCTTTTTCCTCCTGAGAGAAGAGCAGGGCTCTGTGAAGCAGTGCCACCACGGGGGCATGGCACAGAGGGAGGCAGGCCCTGCCCCAGCCAGGCAACTGCCCACCTGCTGGGCACCCTTGAAGCCTGGAGAGGGGCTCCTGGACCCCCGTGGGGCTGCGTGGGAGGGGCAGACAGCCCCTCGGGGCAAGAGGTGGACCCTCCCTCCAAAGTCCCCACCCCTGCCCAGCTGCTGTCTCTGGTCCCCTCGGGCCCCGACACTCTGACCCTGGCGACTCCGTGTTCTAGATCATTCAGCAGGCGGGCCAGGTGTGGTTCCCAGACTCGGCCTTCAAGACGGCCCAGGCCATCAAGGACTTCAACCGGGAGAAGCTGCCCTTGATGATCTTTGCCAACTGGAGGGGGTTCTCCGGGGGCATGAAGGGTAAGGGATCTGCGCCCCCTGGGTACCCCAGAGACCAGGACATCCCCCCCCTCCCTGCCCCTCACTCAGACCCTCTTCCCACTCCCCGAGAACAAGAGCAGTTCCGGGAGTGTGCGTCCAATTCCCAGCTGAGGAACGAAGGTTCCCGATGTGACCGAGCGCGGGCCCCACCGTGAGGGGGCAGGTGCAGGAGGCCTCCGCGATCTTGGGCAGACAGAGTCCCTGGTAGTCACATCCTCGCGGGGAGCAGGGGACAGAGCTGTCCAGTGTCCTTAAGCCACTAAGCTCACTTCAAAACGGCGGCTCAAGACGTGGCCCTCAACGGCGCAGGGGAAGGAGCAGTGAACAAGCCGGCTGGGACTCCTTGCAAGCCAGTGACCACTCTGAGCCTCAGTTTCCCTCCCCTGCACAGGGTACTTCTCTGTGGGCTGAGCCTTCCCTGGTTTTGGGGGTGGTTCTATGCACTGACGGGTGAGCCAGGAAGGCAGCCCAGGCGAGGACATCTCCAAGGCAGAGTTGGAGGGAATTGTGGGGTCAGGTGTCCTGTTATAATGGGAACACCCAGGCCCCTCCTGCGCCCGCGATGTGCCCACGGGCCACCCCCCCCCCCCCCCATGCTGGGAGCTGGGAGCTGCCGGGATGCGTCTGTGTCCGGGCCCTGGAATGACAGAGGCAGTTGCGTATGACTGCGTGGACCCGTGCGGGGGGCCGGAAGACCCCTCCGCCCAGCAGGCGGCCACTGTGCTTTGCAGACATGTACGACCAGGTGCTGAAGTTCGGCGCCTACATCGTGGACGGCCTGCGGCAGTACAAACAGCCCATTCTCATCTACATCCCGCCCTACGCTGAGCTCCGGGGAGGCTCCTGGGTGGTGGTGGACCCCACCATCAACCCCCTGTGCATCGAGATGTACGCAGACAAAGAGAGCAGGTGGGTGCCCTCCTGCCCCACCCCTGCCCGGGCATCACCCAGCACCCGGAGCCCCGCCCCCCTGTGCAGGACCTGCTTTTGTCAGGACAGTTAGTGGCCGGTGCACTGGGAGGTGCTGGAGAAATGGTTCTTGCTCAACGGAGACTTACCTGCTTCCCCAAGAAACTTGCAATTAGGGGCTGGAGAGATAGCACAGCGGTAGGGCGTTTGCACGCGGCTGACCCGGGTTCGATTCCCAGCATCCCGTATGGTCCCCTGAGCACTGCCAGGAGTAACTCCTGAGCAGAGCCAGGAGTAACCCCTGTACAGCACCGGGTGTGACACAAAAAGCAAAAAAAAAAAAGAAAAAAAAAGAAACTTGCAATTAAAGGGGAAAAAAAAACACACAACTATGGGCCAGAGCAACAGAACAGCAGGTAGGGCGATTGTTTTGCATGCAGCCAACCCGGGTTCGATCCCCACCACCCCGTCCAGTTCTCTAAGCACTGCCAGGAGGAAGCCCCAAAGAAAGAAAGAAAAAGACTAAGAAAAGGCCAAAAGCACCTGCATGCCAAGGCAACTGGGCGGAAAAGGGAAATAGGACAGGGTCTGCCTCTCGCCTGACTCTCAGATCCTATAAACCGAGTCCCTCCAGGGCTGTGTGGTTTTTTGGTTTGTTTTTTTAATTTTTAATTTTTTTTTGTTTGTTTGGCTTCTTGGGTCACACCCGGCAGTGCTCAGAGGTCCTCCTGGCTCTGCACTCAGGAATTACTCCTAGCGGTACTCAGGGGACCATATGGGATGCCAGGATACCAGGGATCGAACCCAGGCGGGCTGTGTGCAAGGCAAACACCCTCCCCGCTGTATGATCGCTCTGACCCCCAGGGCTGTGCTTTATTCTGTTTCATATTGGTAAGGGCCTGGCTCGGTGCCTGGGTCCTAGTGGATGGTGGGGAACTGCTGGCTAAACTGATGGCCAGATCAGAGTTGGCACGAGAGGGTCCCAGTCCAAGAGGGGAGGCAGTAGGGATGTGTGCGTGTGTTAGAACCCTAGGGTGTGTGTATGTGTGTGTGTGTGCGCGTGTGTGCATGTGTGTTAGAACCCTAGGGTGTATGTATGTGTGTGTGTGTGCACGGTGTGTGTGTGTGTGTGTGTGTGTGTGTGTGTGTGTGTGTGTGTTAGAACCCAAGGCAATCTACTGATCTCTCTCTCAAGACCTCCCCTCTTCACCTTTTTATGGGGGAGGGCGCTCCCAAGTAGTGTTCAGGAGGCCCCTCGGCCCCTCCTCCGGGGATTCTCAGCCAGTGAGGCCAGTGACTTAATGCAAGGGCCTGCGGATGTGGCACTCTCGGGCCCCGCAGTGCCCGATTACCTGGGCCAGGCGACTCTGCGGTGCCCAGGATCTAACGCGTGGCGGGCATGCCAGGCTGATGTGCCCTAGCACTGTCCACTCTGCCGGTCCTCTTAGCCCCCTGTCGGGCGGAATCATCCTTTGGCAGCCTCCCGGAGGGCTGCCCAGAGCACAGTGCCCCTGGCCCTCATATCCGGCTACGTGCTGTGCACACGTCAGGCCTGAGAGCGGCTCAGCCTCGGGCCTGGGCCCCCGTGTCCGCCCTCTGACTCAGGCTTTTAATTCAGTAAGGGTCAGAGCACGCCCGTGTACCAGGCATCACGCTCGGCCTTGTGATGGGGGGCCCAAGGGAGAGGGGAGCGAATGAGCCAAACCCTCCTGAGGGGCGCTTTGGGGAGTCTGAGGGCATGAGCACCGAGAACGAGCTTTTTACACTGGCCACCAGGAAGCTCAGCTGCATAGAGAATATTCCTCAAGGGCCCCGAGCGATAGTTCAGCGGGAAGGGCGCTTGCCTGGCACGCGGCCAACCCGGGTTCCATCCCCAGCATCCCGTAAGGTCCCCTGAGTCCCATCTGGAGTGATTCCTGAGCATCACTGGGTGTGGCCCCAAAAATAAACAAATGGGGGGGAAGAAGCCTCCAGGCTAAGAAAAGGGAAGAGAGTGGGGGTGGGGAGTGACCAAGGGACCTTGGTCAGAAGGGGCCACTGTCTGGGCAAGGCTGAGGAGCCCATCTTAGATGTTCTCATGAAGCCGTGAGGGGGGCAGCTCTCCTGGGACCCTGTTGGATTCCTCGTGGTGCCTTTTTTGTGTGCGGAGGGGACCAGGAGCACTGTAAGGGGAAGACTGCAGAGCAGGGGCTGGGCTCCACTGCCTCCTGAAGCCAGAGGGCCTGCCAGCATTAGGGGAACTTTTACTTATTTTTGGAAAGTTCATTCTAACGGGTACCAAAGTCACAACTGTCGATGCAAGTTGATAATTTATTAGATAACAAAGCTCCAATATGAAAATCAAGAAGTATAAAAAAATCACGTTTTTTTAATTTTAATTTTAACTTTTTATTTTTTACTTTTTTTGGGAGGGGTCACATCCGGCGATGCACAGGGGTTACTCCTGGCTTTGCACTCAGGAGTCACTCCTGGCAGTGCTCAGGGGACCCTATGGGATGCTGGGAATCGAACCCGGGTCGGCCGCGTGCAAGGCAAACGCCCTCCCCGCTGTGCTAGTGCTCCAGCCCCGAATCACATTGTTTAAATGAGAAATTTGTTGTATCTCATCATGAGGTTCTTGAGTCCCTGTCTGAGAATTTGCCGGGCTGTTTGTCCTAGTTGAGTCTTCTCTTTTTTATTTTTTTTTTTCCTTTTTGGGTCACAGTGATGCTCAGGGGTCACTCCTGGTTCTGCACTCAGGAATTACTCCTGGCGGTGCTTGGGGGACCATATGGGATGCTGGGGATCGAACCTGGGTCAGCCTCATGCAAGGCAAACGCCCCACCCGCTGTGCTATCTCTGCATGAGCCTTCTGCATCATTATAATTGGGGGAGCTTTAAAGCACAGCTCTAGTTGCTTTTTTTTTTTAATTCTGCACTCATGGGTCACTCCTGGAAGGGGTGCCAGGGATAGAACCCAAGTTGGCTGAGTGCAAGGCAAGTGCCTTACATGCCGTTCTTTGTTGTATGGGCAGAGAGGTAGATGATCAGAGAGGGACACTGTCTTGCCCGGGATCACACAGCCAAGTCCTTGGAAAAGTGAATCCTGAGCCCCAGATTTCCCAGCTCTCTTGCCTTCAGCCCACGTCTTCTGGCTGTCATTTGGGAGAGTCGCGGAGACATTCCCACCCCCGCCTCTTCTTTTTTCAGGGGGGGTGTTCTGGAGCCAGAAGGAACCGTGGAGATTAAGTTCCGACAGAAAGATCTCACAAAAGCGATGAAGAGGATCGACCCAGTTTACAAGAAACTTGTGGAGCAGCTGGGTAAGAGGCTCTGACCGGCGTCTGCCTTGGGTCCGGATTCGGAGGCACCTCAGGGACGCAGCTGGGCGTGGGAAAAATCCCTCCCAAGCACAGCTGCAGGACTCGTGAGCACTGATCAGCCAGGGCCGTCGCGGCCCCTGGGGCCCCAGGACATCCCCCTGGGGGCCACAGCATGAGGCTGGCCAACTTGGGGCCACAGGAAGGGACCTTGGTCAGAAGGGGCCACTGTCTGGGCAAGGCTGCGGAGCCCATCTTAGATGTTCTCATGAAGCGAAATGCCTGAAACTCTGCAAACAAGAGTGATTCATTTCCCAGCACACACAAAGTTCCCAGAGGAACGTCAGCGTTTCTCACGGCGAAGCGTCTCTCTAGAATGTCCCACCATCAGACGTTAAATTTCCAATCACAGGACTTGACCAGTGTTGTGGAAGTGAATAGCTTTGCGTTCACACATGACTTTAGAGGGGATTCCTTTGAAATGGCCGTTACTGGGGCTGGAGCGATGGCACGGCGGGGAGGGCGTTGGCCTTGCATGCGGCCAACCTGGGTTCGATTCCCAGCATCCCATAGGGACCCCTGAGCACGGCCAGGAGTAATTTCTGAGTGCAGAGCCAGGAGCAACCCCTGTGCATCGCCAGGTGTGACCCAAAAAGCAAAAAAAAAAAAAAAAAAAAAGTTCGTTATTACTGTTATTAGTTGGCAGTGATTAATTCAGTAACGGTGCTGGCCACTGTATTTTCACTCCTGTCTTGTGTGTGTGTGCACAGCGTATTTGCACGCACACGCATGTGTGTGTGTGTGCGCGTGTGTGCAGTGTGTTGTACGTATGTATGCATGTAGTGTCTGCATGCGTGTGTGTACGTGCGTGTGCTCAGTGTATTGTATGTGAGCATGTATGTGGTGTCTGCGTGTGCGTGTGTGCACGTAGGTGTGTACCGCAAGCATGTGCAGTCTGTGTGTGTATGTGTGTGTGTGTGTGCGTGTACGTCTGTGTGCCTGCATGTTACATTGTTTTTTCCTGGCTTGGTGTGAGGATATTTCTGACTTACGAGACTGAATCCAGGAGTATTTTTTCCTTCTGTTTTCTGAGTTTAGGTGGAATCTCCATTATTTCTTTATATTTTAAAAAAAAGTTTTTTATTGGGGTCAGAGCAATAGTGCATTGGGGGGGCATTTGTCTTGCACGCGGCCAACCCAGGTTTCATCCTTGGCGCCCCAAACGGTCCGCTGAGCACATCCAGGAATGTTCCCTGAGTGCAGAGCCAGGAGTAAGATCTGAGCACCACTGGGTGTGGCCTCCCCAAGGGAAAAAGGGGGGGAGGGGATTATTGAATCATTGTTAATTAGTTACAAAGTCATTAATGATTTTCAGTTGTGCGTCCGGGGCTGGAGAGGGTGCAGCTGGGGGCTCTGCCTTGCACATTGCCGACCCAGGTTCTGCTGTCTCTGGCATCTCATATGCCACCCCCACACCCCAGCACTGCCAGGAGGGAGTGATCCTTGAGCCTCGAGCCAGGAGTGATCCCTGAGCACAGCCAGGTGTGCTCCCCCGCCCCCCCAACAGAGACTCAGCGGTCATCCCAATAAAGGGGGTCACACGTATTTTCGTTTCCCGGCTCACAGAAGCATCCGGTGGCCGTGGAACTCGCTGCGGGCGGGGAGTGTGTTTCCGGGCCCCACAGGATGCCGGGGTGCAGGTACCCGGGCGCGGGTCCTGATCTCCCCAGGCCTAACCCCGGGCAACCCTCTGCTCCTGCAGCCTCCAAGAAGCTCTCGGACCAGGAAGTGCGGGAGCTGGAGGCGCAGTTGAAGGACCGCGAGGAGCAGTTGCTGCCCATCTACCACCAGGTGGCAGTGCAGTTCGCCGACCTGCACGACACTCCCGGCCGCATGCTGGAGAAGGGCGTGATCTCGGTGAGAGCCCTGGGCGCCCCCGGTCCCAGCCTCCGGAGTCCCCTCCGGCAGGGTTGGGGTGGCTTTAGTTGGACACCCGGGGCCAGAGAGAGTGCGGGGGGGAGGGCGCTTGCCTTGCACAAGGCAGATCCCGGTTCCAGCCCTGAGCACTGCCAGGAGTGACCCCTGAGCACTGCCCCAAACAAAAAGAAAACCAAACGGCAAAGAAAAAGAAATCATATGGAGAACTATTTGTGGATTTATGTTGGGTTTGCGGTTACCTTTTTTTTAAGAACCTCAGGGCAGGGAGACATCATTGAGCTGGAGCTCAGGGTTCTAGCCTCTGAGCACCAAGCTGGGAGTCGCCCCAAATCAGAAACACAAAGAGGACCAGAACTATAGCACGGCAGGAAGGGCGTTTGCCTGGCACGCGGTCGACCAGGGCTCGACCCCCAGCATCCCATAGGGACCCCCAAGCACCGCCAGAAGTAATTCCTGAGTGTAGAGCCAGGAGGAACCCCCGAGCATTGCCTGGCGTGACCCAAAAAGCCAATCTAAAATAAACAAAGCCCCTCAGTGGCCAGTTGACTCTCTGAACCAGTAAATTCCAAATCCCCAGGGCTGGGACCAGGTATCAGCCGTATTGAAAATCCGCAGTCAGGGCTGGAGCGACAGTACAGCGGGTTGGGTGTTTGCCTTGCACGAGGCCGACCCAGGTCAGATCCCCGGCATCCCGTATGGTTCCCCCGAGCACCACCAGGAGTGATTCCTGAGTGCAGAGCCAGGAGGAAGCCCTGAGCATCGCTGGGTAGCCCTGCACTGTAGCACTGTCCTCCCGTCGCTCATCGATTTGCTCGAGCGGGCACCAGTAACATCTCACAACAAATTGTGAGACTTGTTGTTACAGTTTTTGGCATATCCAGTACGTCACAGATAGCTGGCCAGGCTTTGCCGAGCGGGCGAGATACTCTCCATGCTTGCCGGGAGGAATCGAACCCGGGTCGGCCGCGTGCAAGGCAAACGCCCTACCTGCTGAAGCATGGCTGGGTGTGACCCTGTCACTGACACCGTCACTGTCCTCCCGCTGTTCACGGATTTGCTCGAGCGGGCCCAGTAACGTCTCCATTGCGAGACTTCTTGTTACTGTGTCTGGCATATCGAATACGTCACGGGGAGCTTGCCAGGCTTTGCCATACGGGCGAGATACTCTCGGTAGCTTGCTGGGCTCTCCGAGAAGGGTGGAGGAATCAAACCCGGCTCGGCCGGGCTGGCTGCGCGCAAGGCAAACGCCCTACCGCTGTGCTATCCCTCCAGCCCCAAAAAAGAAAAAAAAAGGGAAAAAAAGTCCGCAGCCAGCAGCCAAGCTGGGAACATACCCCTGCACGTGTTTAGCACCATCAGGGATCATTGCTCCTCCCCGGGTCCACTGGTGACCCCCACCAGACGCCCTGCGCCCTCGTGGCGGCCACTCCCCCTACCCCGGCCCTGGTGCCAGCGGGTGTGACCTTGCCCGCGCAGGACGTGCTGGAGTGGAGGACGTCGCGCACCTTCCTGTACTGGCGCCTCCGCCGGCTCCTGCTGGAGGACCAGGTCAAGCAGGAGGTCCTGCGCGCGTGCGGCCCGCTCAGCCACGTCCACATCCAGTCCATGCTGCGCCGCTGGTTCGTGGAGACCGAGGGCGCCGTCAAGGTGCGCGGGTGCGCGCGGTGGAGGGGTGGCCGCGGGCGGCGGGCGCGGGGCGGCCCCCTCGCTGACGCCCCTCCGCCCCACCCAGGCCTACCTGTGGGAGAACAACCAGATGGTGGTGCAGTGGCTGGAGCAGCACTGGCAGGTGGGGGACGGGCTGCGCTCCACCATCGGGGACAACATCAAGTACCTGAAGCGCGACGCGGTGCTCAAGACCATCCGGGGGTGAGCTGGGGCCCCCGGGACGGGGAGGGACTCGACTTGGCCGGCTCCGCCTCCAGCCGCCCGCCCAGTGGCCTCTGGGACCCGCCACCAGCGCCAGGCCCAGGTGTTTGCTTAACACCCGCTGCCCAGTGGGGCTGGAGAGAGAGTCCAGCTGGGTGGGCGCCTGCCTGGCGAGCGTGGGGCAGGCCTGGGTTTGCTCCCCCAAGCCCCATCGGGTCCCCTGAATCCCACCAAGAGTAATTCCAGTGCAGAGCCAGGCGTTATCCAGGAGCACCGGAGGGTGTGGCCCCTCCCACTTCTGTTGGGGAAGGGGACCCAGAAGGGGGTTTCTGGGTTCACATCAGTCTCTCCTGGGGGGGTGCTGGAGCGGTAGCATAGCAGGTCGGGCGTCTGCCTTGCACATGGCCGACCCAGGTTCGATTCCCAGCATCCCAGAGGGTCTCCTGAGCACCACCAGGAGTAATCCCTAAGCATCGTCGGGTGTGACCCAAAAAAGAAAAGAAAAGAAAACAAACCCAGTCTTTCCTGGGGCGGGGGTAGGGTTGCCCCCTCTTCTGGGAGGCAGGAACCACCCGCCTCCTTTGGGGCCTTGAAACTGAGTTTCAGGGGAAGCCTCAAATTGTGGCCACCCTGCTAGTGACCAGCAGGGTCAGCTGTCGGCCCTCGGGGCACCCCAGTCCTCTCCCCCCACAGAACCATCACCCTCCCGGGGACCCCCACGGGGAGACGCTGGCCTTTCTGGGTTGCACCCCCCCAGGAACCCTGTGCAGGAATGACGTCACCCCTTCTCCTGCCCCCCTCCCCACAGCCTGGTCGAGGAGAACCCCGAAGTGGCCGTGGATTGTATGATGCACTTGAGCCAACACATCAGCGCGGCCGAGCGCGCCCAGCTGGCCCAGCTCCTGTCTACCATGGACAGCCCAGCGTCCACCTGACCCCAGCCCTCTGGCCACTCCCAGGACCACGGGCAATAGAAACCGCAGCGAACCGCCGGCCGCAACGTCTTGCCAGGATTTGGGGGATTTGCTTTAAAAGAAAAAAAAAATCTTGGGGCCAGGTAACTGGCCCCAGACTTCGGTCTCAATAAAAGGCTCCCGAGTGACCTGCCGGGCAGAACGAGCCGCGTCTCCCCGGGCCGACAAGGAGCGACCTTGGCTTTGCCTGAAGACAGCGTGGCAGCCGCATCCTGGAGTGGGATCGACCCGAGCACCCCCACATCCTCCTCCCACCCTCCCGGGCCTCGTGCGGGGGACCCGGGGCTTCATCCCCTTTGTATCGCGTGGCAGACTCTTATATTTTTTTAATTTCCAGGCCCGGCCTTGACGTCCGTGGCTATCTTGGCCCAATAAACAAGCCGAGGAGAGCTTGGAGATCAGATGAATATTTTTTTTTTTTCCCAAATTGAAGACTGAAATGCTCCTGTGTTCCCTGCCAGGCCCCTGGTGAACCATGAGGGTGTCAGGCGCTTTGAGCGGGGACTTGGATGGATGGAGGAAAGAAACCAAAGAGAACTGCTTGGCCACGGCTTCTGGCACATTCTGAGACTTCCTGTGGCCCCCGGCCCCCCGGCCTGCTCATCCCTTACCCTGGAGAACAAGGACAAGGCTGAGTGTGGGCGCAGGCGCAGCTGGTGGGACTTGCGGGGTGTGCGGAGGGCCTCTGCGAGTCCCCAGGCTCACCCCCTTACCCGCTGGCTTCTGTCCGTGACCGGATCGGACCCCAAGGGGCAGGGACTGGGTCGTGAGAGCCACCCACCGTCACCGTTGGCACAGACAGGTCTTTGCAACAGGCTCAGCCGCCAGTACTGGCCCCTGGGGCCAGCACACTCTGGGCTTCTGCGACCCACGCCGTCCCGGCCACCTGCCTCTGGCCAGAGGTGGGGAAGGGAGCGGGCCCCTCCGTCTGTGATGGGCAGTTCGGGGGTGCCACATGTTATGCCAGTTTGGAGGTCAGCGACGTGGCCCCCTCAGCTGGGATGCTGGAGGGTGTCCGAGATTTGAGAAACCTGGCGACGGCTCTGGTCAGGGCTGTGGTGTGGGGGCTGACGGGAGTGGGGTGGGGGGGAAGAGTCCTCCCCTGAGGGGAAAGAATCACGCTGCTTGGGGGTCCCGTGCGTCTCCTGTGTGGGGGAGGCCTCCCAGTCTTGGAGGGACAGTTTGATGACTATCTGTGACCCAGGAACGGAGATGGCAGAGGAACCCACCAGGAAATGGGTGAAATAAATTATTTTTGGAGAGAAACACTTTGGCCTTAATTTTTTACCTGGGTCCCCGAAAGCAGGTCGCCTGCCTGGGAATTCCTGGGGCTCTCCTTCCTCTGGAGACAGACTGACCGGTCCTCTCAGGAGTCGGCAGCTGGGGTCTGAGTTCTAGTGCGAAGGCCGCGTGTGGGGTCCAGGTTTGCCCAGAAGGCAGCTGGGACCATCTACAGAGAACCTTGCAGAAGGCGGGGGGTCCTTGTGATGTTGACGGGCCCCACGGCTGGCTCGCGGGAGTCGGGCAGGAGAGAAAGGCGTTCACCTCCCAATCCGCCTCTGCCAAACGGGATCTGCTAGGAAGATCAGGGGGTGGGGTTCCCCCTCTCCTGGGAGGCAGGGAGGTCGTCTCCTTTGGGGCCTTGAAACTGAGTTTCAGGGGAAGCCTCAAATCTTGGCTGGTAAAGTCTGTGATGAGCCCCTGCTCGGCACTGGCCCGAGCCCCGCCAGCCCCACCAGGTGGCCGCCAGGCCACACCCGATGTTCACTTGGTCTGCCACGAATGCCAGTTGATCCCCGCCACCCATTTCTCAGGAGCCACGAACTCAGGTTGGGACAAGGATTTACTCTTTGCAGGAAAGGAGAAACCAGTCGCAGGCCTTACCCAGGGCTTTCGGGGTTCTTGTCTTGCCTCGCACAAAAGAATTTTAGGAGTAGACAAGCTGTGACGTGAAACATTTTATTTGGAGGGTTTTTCATGGTGTGGGCTGGAGCGATAGCACAGCGGTACGGTGTTTGCTCTCTGCGCAGCCAGCCCGGCCGAGCCGGGTTCGAGTCCTCTGCCTCTCGGAGAGCCCAGCAAGCTACTGAGACCTACCGAGACCCAACAACAAGTCTCAAAATGAAGACGTTGCCAAACACAGTAACAAGTCTCAAAATGGAGACGTTACTGGGCCCACTTGAGCATACCGATGAACAACGGGAGGCCAGTGTTTGTTATTTTTTTTTTTTTTTTTTTTGCTTTTTGGGTCATACCTGGCAATGCACAGGGGTTAGTCCTGGCTCTGCACTCAGGAATTACTCCTGGCGGTGCTCAGGGGACCATATGGGATGCTGGGAATTGAACCCGGGTCGGCCATGTGCAAGCCAAACGCCCTACCCGCTGTGCTATCGCTCCAGCCCCGCAGTGTTTTGTTGTGTGTTGATGGTGTGGAAGGGGGAGAGAGAGAGAGAGAGAGAGAGAGAGGAAAGAGACGCAAGAAGAGCCTGGTCTTCTCCAAGGGCAGATAGAGCCCCTACAAGAGGGAAGATGTGGGCAACACATGTGCTTGGCCACGTGGGCGCAAGCAGCACATGGGCTCGGGCGTTTATAGGGTTTATAGGTTCAAGGCGGCCTTTATAGGGTTTCTCCAACCTGCCCCAGCTGGGGCTTCTCCCTAGGTAAGAGTGCCTTGCCAAGGCTGTTGCTGAGCGGGTAGCGCCTTTGAAACTCCCTTTCTTGACCTTTGTTCCTGCTGGATCTTCTCTCGGAGGATGGGGCCAGCCTTCTCTGGTCTGGGCCAGCTGAGGGTTAAAGGGATCCAAGGAAGGAATTGAGGAATTGAGGGTTCTCGAGTAATTTCCTTCAGGCCCTCTCTGTAGGGAGGGGTCCAGTCTCCTCAGGGTCTGCAGCTGGAGGTCTCAGCAGGCCTTGATTTCTGGATCCACAAGGTGGGTCAGACTTACAGCTGGTGGCTTTACTTCCCAGGAATTTCATTGCCATCATGTGTGTGGGGGGAGGGGTGTGGCCTTCCCTAACCCACCTGCCTGCTTTGCTTGCCTCCGGGACTTGGCCTGTGTGCCTTGCACACAGCTGACCTAGATTCGATCCCTGGCCCCACAGTGTCCTCCCAGTCCCGCCAGGAGTGATCCTTGAGTGCAGAGCCAGGAGTCAGCCCCATGACCCGCTCGCTGTGATGCGTGAGTATCTGGAGCAGGAAGCACGGGCCAAGGCACTTAAAGTCTGTGAGGGGAGCTTCATGGTAATCACAAATCACAAATCATCCTGTTATTCGTCGATTGCCTCGAGCAGGCCCCAGTAACGTCTCCTTCATCCTAGCCCTGAGATTATATTCAAGGCTCTGTAGGAGAATGAGACCCATCGTTGTTACTGGTATTTGGCATATTGGGTACGCCACGGGGAGTTTGCCAGACTCTGCCGTGTGGGCAGGCTACATTCGGTAGCCTGCCAGGTTGTCCCAAGTAGGAGTGAGATAATAAGATGTCATGAAAAGATGGTAAAATAGGAGTAACAAAAATGTGCCTTTTGAGCATTCACGAACAGCTGCGTGGCGCTGAGTCCTGCACAGGACTTCACAGCCACCCCATCCTCTCCAGAACATTTTCATCCCCTAGCTGGGGCTGGCCCCACCCCTGGTCACCTCCCTCTGCCACGGGTGACTCCCAGTCTCGACTCAGTGCCTCCGCTCTGCCTGCCTCTGCGGTGGCTGGTCTGTTGGCTTTGCTGCGTGTTCAGCCCCAAGGCAACAGGCCAGGACCCAAACTTTTTTTTTTATAGTGAGACGTCATGAGGTACAGTTGCAGACTTACACATTTTTGTGCTTGGGTTTCAATTATACATTGATCAAACACCCATTCCTCCACCGGTGCCCATTGCCCACCACCACGGATCCCAGTAGCCCTCCCACCCCCCAGGACCCGCACTTTGAGCCAGAGAACGTCATCAGCGTCCGGACGAATGACCGTCCTGGAATCCCTCCCACCAGGCTCCCCCCAGCTGAGGGCGTGACTCCTCCCTGGAAGGAGGGCTTAAGTTCAGCGCCTGAGGAGTGGGAGGGAGGGGCGCCAGGTACACAGGGGAATTGAATTGGTCATTTTAAATCGCGCTTCTGAAAAGGAGGCCAATCCAATAATGGGCTGGCTGGGGGGTGGGGGTGGGGGAGGTAGTGGGAGGTGAAAGGAAGCCCCTTCCTCTTTTCCGGCCTCACCTACTCGCTGGAGCTTGGTACGTAACCCTCAGGGAGAGGGATCCTCTCGGGGAGAGCCCAGACCCAGAGACAGATTTCAGCGCTCCCGGGAACTGTGTTTCAACGCGCCGGCCTCAGATTTTAGGCCAGGGGCCTCCTACCCAGGCAGAGAACAGCGTAGGGACAGCCAGGCCGATGTCCGTTGGAGATCAAGCAAGGACGGCTGAAGGGGCGGCTAGGAATAGAGGCAAGGGGCCAGGGCTGACGGGCAGTGGGGAGGACGCTTGCCTTGGAACTGACCCGGGGTCAGTCCCCGGCACCCCATGTGGTTCCCCAAACCCCGCCAAGAGTAATTCCTGAGCACAGAACCAGGAGTCTTGAGCACTGCTGAGCGTGACCGCGAAAAGAAAGTAGGGAGGGATCCAGATAACCTCTTCTTATATTTTGTTTTTTTGCCTTTTGGGTCTTACCTGGAGATGCTCAGGGGTTCCTTCTGGCTCTGCACTCAGGAAATCACTCCTGGCGGTGCTCGGGGGACCATATGGGATGCTGGGAAATTGAACCCAGGTGGGACGCGTGCAAGGCAAACGCCCTACCCGCTGTGGTATTGCTCTATCCCCCAGATCCCTGTTTAGACTTCACCCTGGGGGCTGGGTGGTTGGGCCACACCTGTATCCTGCACCCCGCAGGGATCGGGCCTGGGTCGGCCATGGGCAAGGCAAACGCCTTTACTGTTTCATCTCTGCATCCCTAAACTTTACCTTCCCCCCCCCCCCAAGAGGGAGGGCAATCCTGCCCGGTGGCCCTGGCAAGGCTTGGCATCATATGATGAGCTGGGGATTAAGCCCAGTCCGCTCCAAGCTCCGAAATCCACCTTGCTGGCTGTGAGGAATCTCAGTGGAGTTCCAACGTCCCCACACCTTCCTCACCACGCTGCAATCTTTATTTTATGAAAGCCAACCTCGGGCTGGAGTGATAGTGAAAGAATCCCTATTGGGGCATTGAAGGGTTAAACGTTTTTATACACGCTTCAGCTAACTTTGCTTTCTGTAAACCGCTTGGCTGCTTTGCACCTGGGGCGGAACTTGAGCAAACAGGATATAACCTTCTTGCCTGGGCTGGGAGAGTGTAGCCTAAGAGTGTCACCAAGCGTTCCTGGAATTTACTGTGCCAGGAAAGACCAGACGCGCCCTAGCCACAATGCCTACGTACGTAAATGCTGACCATTGAATCTATAGGCCAAGGAGTGATGCACTTCTAAATGGATTGGTTAAGACACGTTTGTTACAAATCTATTGGCTATGAAATGCGCCGGCTTTGCTGTAAGGTCCAGTGAAGGCCTAAAGAAGATCCCCTTGGAAGAAGCTCAGGGCTCTCGGCCACTGCCCGCCCTGGGGTATGCTGTGGAGCCCCAGCATGCTGGTCTAAATAAACCCCGCTCGTACTCCTGCAGGAACTGTGTCCCTCTGGTCTCTCCACGCCTCCCCGGGCTAGGGGACTCCTGACCCTAACAGTAGCACAGCGGGTAGGGCGTTTGCCTTGCACCCAGCCGGCCCAGATTAAGTTCCCAGCATCCCACGTGGTCCCCTGAGCACAGCCAGGAGTAATTCCTGTGCAAAGCCGGGTGTGACCCTCCCCCCCCAGAAAAAAAAAACAACTTTAGGGCAGAGCCTAAGAGTGATTAAATAAATTACAATAAATTAAGTGATAAAATGCTTTAGTTAAATGAGTGATAAATTAGTTACTTAAAATTAAATAGACAAATAAGGGTAAATTTAAGGACTTGCAGGTCTCTGCGTTGACGGACAGCAGGTGCCGAACCTGGATGTGCACACTTAGGTCATGGAGGACACCATGGGCTAGGCCGCCACAATGACCACACCAGGAGCAAGTGGACAGCCTCATTGTGTGGATCGCTGAGGCTGGCCGCCCTGAGGAACTAGGCCGCCCTCTACCTTTCTGCTGACCATGGCCTCGCTGCTCTCTGCCTTTGTGCCTGCATCCAGCAGACCCTGCGAACCCCCCATGCTTCCAGCACGGGCCTCCACCTTCTCTTAGGGGTTGGAGCCATAGC